TCTATGTCTAAAGTACCGATGAAGTACTTGTTGTGATCTAAAGTACCGATGAAGTACTTGGTGTGATCTATGTCTAAAGTACCGATGAAGTACTTGTTATGATATATGTCTAAAGTACCGATGAAGTACTTGATGTGATCTAAAGTACCGATGAAGTACTTGATGTGATCTAAAGTACCGATGAAGTACTTGATGTGATCTAGCTAAAGTACTGATGAAGTACTTGGTGTGATCTATGTCTAAAGTACCGATGAAGTACTTGATATGATCTATGTCTAAAGTACCGATGAAGTACTTGATATGATCTATGTCTAAAGTACCGATGAAGTACTTGATGTGATCTAAAGTACCGATGAAGTACTTGATGTGATCTAAAGTACCGATGAAGTACTTGATGTGATCTAAAGTACTGATGAAGTACTTGGTGTGATCTATGTCTAAAGTACCGATGAAGTACTTGATATGATCTATGTCTAAAGTACCGATGAAGTACTTGATATGATCTATGTCTAAAGTACCGATGAAGTACTTGTTGTGATCTAAAGTACCGATGAAGTACTTGATATGATCTATGTCTAAAGTTCCGATGAAGTACTTGTTGTGATCTAAAGTACCGATGAAGTACTTGTTGTGATCTAAAGTACCGATGAAGTACTTGTTGTGATCTAAAGTACCGATGAAGTACTTGATGTGATCTAAACCCAGAGCTGCCTATAGCAGCCATGTTTGTTGTTGGCCAGGAGGAGACAACTGGCGATCAATTATTCAGATAACATTGGCCAGAAAAAAATTCTGGAAATGGGGGGCGGTCCATCAGTTCTGAGATTGGCTGCCTGATATTCCTGTCATCCGGATGACAAAGCCTGGCTTTAGATTTTACGCTTCACTGATCTCCGACAGAAGATATAGAAACCTCGATCTCTCGAATTTGGAGACAATTTTTTACATCAGAGATTTGATTTGGTATCGCTGACTGAGCGGGCTCAATACATTGGTGCTTTCATGAAGCTTCACAATAATTATTCATTCAGAATAAATGGCTAATCAAGTTAACTACGGTAAGCTGAGTAATAAAACTATTGTTAAAATACTTTTTTTCATATCGGCACTGAGGTCTGTGTATCTGACTTAGTCGGTCTTCTAATTCCATGTAGTTGGCATTGGACCATAAACCTAACCTGATTATAGGAGACAAAAACAACAACAGAAAACAGTCGCAGGAAAAAGTCACAAATGCTTGTCAGCATGGAATTAACATACTATTAATTAACTTTAATGATTTTTTTTTAAATATTGCATAGGTTGTATATATATATATATATATATATATATATATATATATATATATATATATATATATATATATATATATATATATATATATATATATATATATATATATATATATATATATATAAAGCAAAGTGGTCAGGTGACCGATAGGGCACTTCCCGGCGCCACGGGCGCGTCGAATTTGGCAGGATCCTGCCTTGGGTAGATAGAACACTAGGGCCCGTGCCGGTTGGCCGAAAAGTTCAGGAAGAGGGGGTCAAAACTGACCTCGACTGACCGGCGCCTTATATGAGGTATATAACGAAAAAACTTTTGCCGAACGACCCCCTTGATATTTTGTGAGGTGGTAGAAGAACGCCTAGGTGTGTCATAAAAAACTCGGCATATCTCGGAAAACTTCGTTAAGTGGTCAAAACTGACCAGTAGTATTTCCTTATATAATCTTTGTATTTTATGGGGAAAACAGACACCACACGACAACATCCAGTCTGGCACCACACGACAAACAGAGGGTTTAGGGCACTTATGGTCTGCACATCGGGCTAATTTTTTGCAAGCACCTAGATAAATGGCTAGGCCGTATGGAAAAACTGTCGGTTCGACTCAGAGCCCTCGACGAGGGCTAAAAGATGACCGCGAGTGAAATTCTCCTTATTTGAGCTACATAACGAAAAAAAATTCTGTCGAACGATCCCCCTAATATTTTGTGAGGTCGTAGACCGACCCTGAAGGGAACAAAAACCCTTTATTCGCGTCGGAAAAAAACCCTAGGGTCGTTAGATTTGTCTAGATTCGATATTTTCTTATATAAAACATTGTTTGTGAAAAAGTAAACAAAGAATACGTCATTCTGTCTATGTACAGGGGAGGTAGCTTATTAAAGTAGTAATTTTAAAATTATTTGTATACTATTTCATAGAAAAAACAAAATCACAATGTATAGCATTCGTTTCAATAAATATTCGTTATACATTTAGTTATTTATTTTACTGAAATTGTCAAAATTAATTGTAAAAGTAAATTTAATATAATACATGATTTTTACTATTAATGAAGCCTTTGCAGTTCTAATTACCTTGCGAGTTATAAGTTTACGAATACACCAACGTTTTCATGACATGAAAATACTCAGACTGTTTAAACTTAGGCCCTAAGCACTTCACATAACAGCCAAACACCAATTAATTAATCATTAAAACACTCATTAGTTGTTTGTAAACCTACGCGAAGCTAGGCAGAATGCCTAGTATATATATATATATATATATATATATAAATATGTAAAACTATTGAGTCTGAAGTGTGTAGGTTTAATTCGGTTAATTACATAATGTGGATGGACATGGCCGACCAAGGAATTGTTTCTTCGACTCGGTATTCATGTTAATAATAGTTTGAGACTGCTGTGAAAATTATGTTATTGTGCTTTTACTAAATTAGAATATGATAGTCTGATTACTAGTGTAAATCATAATACCTTTAACGTTTTTAAATACGTTACTAAAACATTTATAAAAGCGCAATATTTTACATTTCTTAACAAGCAAATCGAAAGACTTCTAAGACCATTTTTGAGCTTTTTTTCTGTGACTTTTCCCGACATCATTGCCATGTCCCTTAAACCAGTCAATTTTCAGCTTTAACATTTGCTAGATAAGCGCGTGATAAAGCTATTTATAGCTGATCTCACAATGTTTGATTGGGCCTTTAAAAGCACCTGACTCATGACGCAGTAAAACCGTAATAAAGCGTGTGCTGACGTCATGCACGCTGTTACCGGGGTGGGGCTGTTATCCCTGGGTAAACCCAGCAGACGACCGGCCATCAGACGAATACACTACGTCATAGAAAACAGATCCCCTCTAGGGGGCGGCATCCACCCCTCCCTCACCACCCCCCGCCGTACATTTGTTTGCGCCAAATGTTTGAATGGTTGGAGTTACCGAACCTGGTTCAGGCAATCAATCGCAGGCTGGCACCACACCACACGACAACATCCCGTCTGGCACCACACGACAACATCCCGTCTGGCACCACACGACAACATCCCGTCTGGCACCACACGACAACATCCCGTCTGGCACCACACGACAACATCCCGTCTGGCACCACACGACAACATCCCGTCTGGCACCACACGACAACATCCCGTCTGGCACCACACCACACGACAACATCACGTCTGGCACCACACCGTGCGACAACATCCCGTCTGGCACCACACCGTGCGACAACATCCCGTCTGGCACCACACGACAACATTCCGTCTGGCACCACACGACAACATCACGTCTGGCACCACACCGTGCGACAACATCCCGTCTGGCACCACACGACAACATTCCGTCTGGCACCACACGACAACATCCCGTCTGGCACCACACGACAACATCCCGTCTGGCACCACACGACAACATCCCGTCTGGCACCACACCACACGACAACATCACGTCTGGCACCACACCGTGCGACAACATCCCGTCTGGCACCACACCGTGCGACAACATCCCGTCTGGCACCACACGACAACATCCCGTCTGGCACCACACGACAACATCCCGTCTGGCACCACACGACAACATCCCGTCTGGCACCACACGACAACATCCCGTCTGGCACCACACGACAACATCCCGTCTGGCACCACACGACAACATCCCGTCTGGCACCACACGACAACATCCCGTCTGGCACCACACGACAACATCCCGTCTGGCACCACACGACAACATCCCGTCTGGCACCACACGACAACATCCCGTCTGGCACCACACCGTGCGACAACATCCCGTCTGGCACCACACGACAACATCCCGTCTGGCACCACACGACAACATCCCGTCTGGCACCACACGACAACATCAAATTAATTGCTTGGGAGAATCTGGCGATACACCTGGTGCTAACCTTGGGATTAGTTTGTCAAGGCCGATATCTGTTCTAGTTTTAATCATGTTTTTCATATTTTAATCATCTCCACAAATAGCTGGATTAAACTGCTTCTTTTTTTTTTTTTTTTTTTTTTTTTTTTTTTTGCAATTGATTGGCCTGTTATTGAATTGATTTATTGAGTAGAAATATGTTTGGATTGTTTAGTAAAATACCTTTTGGTGTAAAGTGATCCTTTGTGGTACACTCGTGACCCTTCGTGTCTCTTGATATAACCCCATGATCCCTTGTGTGACCCCACGGTCCCCTGTGGCACCCCATGACCCCTTGTGTGACCCCATGACCCCTTGTGTCACCCCACGACCCCTCGTGTGACCCTATGACCCCTTGTGTGACCCGATGACCCCTTGTGTGACCCCACGACCCCTTGTGTGACCCCACGACCCCTCGTGTGACCCTATGACCCCTTGTGAGACCCCATGACCCCTCGTGTGACCCTATGACCCCTTGTGAGACCCTATGACCCCTTGTGTGACCCGATGACCCCTTGTGTGACCCCACGGCCAGTCGCGTCACATGAGGATTTCTTGTAGCACCATCTAACCCACATGGTACGCACTGACTCTACTTCACAGCTTCCTAATGAGTGAATTACATCATCAACTAGTTAAGTAGTTCGCAGCTCCCTAATGAGTGAATTACATCATCAACTAATTAAGTAGTTCGCAGCTTCCTAATGAGTGAATTACATCATCAACTAGTTAAGTAAAAAAAAAAAACTAATCAGCTTTTGCATGAACGAATTTTTTTTCTTCCAGAGAAACACAGGACAGTCTGGGGGAGTAAAGGGACTTGACCTCAATGTCATGGCCGCTTGGGCGATGGGGTACTCGGGTGCCGGGGTGACCACAGCTATCATGGACGATGGTAAGTGAAGGTAGTTGGTGATGGTAGGTGGTAGGTGGTGGTGGTAGGCGGTGAGGGTAGGTTGTAGGTGGGATGGTAGATTGTTATGGTACGTGGTGATGGTAGGTGGTGATGGTGATGGTAGGTGGTGATGGTAGGTGGTGAATTCAGATGTTGAAAGACAAGCAGAATGTGTACATTAAAAACGTTCTAATTATATTTAGCTAATCATGATTAAAAACGTTCTAATTATACTTAGCTAATCATGGTTAAAAACGTTCTAATTATACTTAGCTAATCATGGTGGACTGACGTTGTTTTTATCATCCACAGGAATCGACTACTTGCACGAGGATTTAAAGTATAATTATGTAAGTGACCTTGACCTTCGCCTAAACACCCCCAACCTTCCCCCTGACCTTTGCCTAGACACCCCCAACCTTCCACTTGACCCTTAGCCCAGACACCCCCAACCTTCCCCCTGACCCTTCGCCTAGACACCCCCAACCTTCTCCCTGATTGTAACACTGCCATGGACAATCTACCCTGTTGTTGTACTGAATCGCTTTAAAAACCTTTTGTTGATATTGTAATCACAGTTCAACTTTACAACATTAACGATGTTCATCTGCAGTCATGTTGTGTTAGCAAATGTTATCATGATGTATTAGCCAGTGTTATAATGATGTATTATCAAATGTTTTAATGATGTATTAGCCAATGTTATAATGATGTATTATCAAATGTTTTTATGATGTATTAGCCAATGTTATAATGATGTATTAGCTCAATTAAGGTAGAAGATCCCCAGAATAACTTAGAACATATAAAATAACTTTTTGTATTATTTTATATTTAGAAAAAAGTAAAAAATATTTTTAAAATTTTATACCTACGTATGTACCCCACCGTGCTCATTTTATGCTTAGCAACTATTGTTTACACTTAGTTACCATGATAGTAAGAGTAACATTCAAATGATTTGCAACATATAGGTGTCTCAACTCAATTAGGACGTAATTAAAAGGCATTAAGATGTGAACAATTAAAAGGCATTAAGATGTAAACAATTAAAAGGCATTAAGATGTGAACAATTAAAAGGCACTGAGATGTGATCATTGGCTAATTCTTGTCAGTTCCGTGTCTACTGGGAGCTCAAAGAAAATTTGCGAAACTTTTTTAAGACGTCTGAGTATGACGTCACCAATGTCAAAAGTTTAAAACGGGATAGAAGGCTGTAGTGTTGTATACTCATCTGATAGTATAGTGTTGTCTATTTTAGAAGGTTGTAGTGTTGTATACTCATCTGATAGTATAGCGTTGTCTATTTTAGAAGGCTGTAGTGTTGTATACTCATCTGATAGTATAGAGTTGTCTATTTTTAAACCATAAGAAAAAACTGGTCAAAAAGTTGTTTTTTTGTACAGAGATACGCTGTCTTTTAATGGTCTGCTGTTTTAAGACTTCAAAATAATCTAGAAAAGAAGAAAGACACTTAGAATCTTCAATAAAGGTCTCTATGACATCATATGATGAAAGACACATACAACCATCAATAAAGGTCTCTAGAACATCATAGGATGAAAGACACATACAACCATCAATAAAGGTCTCTATGACATCATAGGATGAAAGACACATAGAATCATCAATAAAGGTCTCTATGACATCATAGGATGAAAGACACATAGAACCATCAATAAAGGTCTCTATGACATCATAGGATGAAAGACACATACAACCATCAATAAAGGTCTCAATGACATCATAGGATGAAAGACACACAACCATCAATAAAGGTCTCTAGAACATCATAGGATGAACGACACATATAACCATCAATAAAGGTCTCTAGAACATCAGAGGATGAAAGACACATAAAAACATCAATAAAGGTCTCTATGACATCATAGGATGAAAGACACATACAACCATCAATAAAGGTCTCTAGAACATCATAGGATGAAAGACACATACAACCTTCAATAAAGGTCTCTATGACATCATAGGATGAAAGACACATACAACCATCAATAAAGGTCTCTAGAACATCATAGGATGAAAGACACATACAACCATCAATAAAGGTCTCTAGAACATCATAGGATGAAAGACACATACAACCATCAATAAAGGTCTCTATGACATCATAGGATGAAAGACACATAGAACCATCAATAAAGGTCTCTATGACATCATAGGATGAAAGACACATACAACCATCAATAAAGGTCTCTATGACATCATAGGATGAAAGACACATAAAAACATCAATAAAGGTCTCTAGAACATCATAGGATGAAAGACACATACAACCATCAATAAAGGTCTCTAGAACATCATAGGATGAAAGACACATACAACCATCAATAAAGGTCTCTATGACATCATAGGATGAAAGACACATAGAACCATTAATAAAGGTCTCTATGACATCATAGGATGAAAGACACATACAACCATCAATAAAGGTCACTATGACATCATATGATCTGAGAATCAGAGCCCCCTGAAAATTAACAAAATAAAGCGGTTTTTTTATTTCAATTCACCGAAAACTTTCTTTTTAACAAAATACTCTAAACGGAAAGAAGAAATTTGCAATGGATATACATTACACGATTCTAGAGAATATGGAATACAGTGAATGGAGAGGCTTGAAGACACGTTTTTTTTTTCATAATTATCTACAAAAAAATTGCAATTTGATGAGGCTTTAGAATTTTGAATTCATTACAAACTACTGCATTATATGCAATGACTGTAGTTCAGGTTTTTTTTAAGTAAAAGTGTTTGAAAAAATATACTATTTTTCTTAAAAATGGCGGCCATCTTGGTGACCGAATAAGCATTTTTTTTTAATTTCATAATGGATACTAATTATCAACTCTCTTGAATCCATCTCTGTGTTTATAATTAATTTTAATCAAAAATCTTCAATTTCTGGTTCCCAGGGGGGAAGGTGGGGTGGGGGGGGGTGGAGGAACTTCTACCTTAATTCCTCATGTAGAAAATTATCTTAGCTTACAAATATAATTTTATGATTGTCACGTCTGTTCTCTGCCCTTGATTGTCACGTCTGTTCTCTGCCCTTGATTGTCACGTCTGTTCTCTGCCCTTGATTGTCACGTCTGTTCTCTGCCCTTGATTGTCACGTCTGTTCTCTGCCCTTGATTGTCATGTCTGTCTCTGCCCTTGATTGTCACGTCTGTTCTCTGCCCTTGATTGTCCCTTGATTGTCACGTCTGTTCTCTGCCCTTGATTGTCACGCCTGTTCTCTGCCCTTGATTGTCAAGTCTGTTCTCTGCCCTGTATTGTCACGTCTGTTCTCTGCCCTTGATTGTTACGTCTGTTCTCTGCCCTTGATTGTTACGTCTGTTCTCTGCCCTTGATTGTTACGTCTGTTCTCTGCCCCAGGACGCTGATGCCAGCTATGACTTCAGCAGCAACGATCCCTACCCGTACCCTCGTTACACAGACACGTGGTTCAATAGGTGAGTCACTCATTAGTGCTGGTTGATTGCTGCTCATTAAATCCACGTCAACGTAGACACATCCTCACTAGATATGTATTTTCCACGTCAAATATTTGATATGTATCACGAGAACAATCGACCAACAACACATGTTTTAGTTTGTCCACATGTTTGACCACACGTATGACCACCTGTTTGACCACACGTTTGACCACATGTTTGACCACATGTTTGACCACACGTTTGACCACACGTTTGACCACACGTTTGACCACACGTTTGACCATATGTTTGACCACATGTTTGACCACATGTTTGACCACCTGTTTGACCACATGTTTGACCACACGTTTGACCACTTGTTTGTCTACCTGTTTGACCACCTGTTTGACCACACGTTTGACCACATGTTTGACCACACGTTTGACCATATGTTATGTTTGACCACATGTTTGACCACACGTTTGTTCATATGTTATGTTTGACCACATGTTTGACCACATGTTTGACCACACGTTTGACCATATGTTATGTTTGACCACATGTTTGACCACATGTTTGACCACATGTTTGACCACACGTTTGTTCATATGTTATGTTTGACCACATGTTTGACCACACGTTTGACCACACGTTTGACCACATGTTTGACCACATGTTTGACCACATGTTTGACCACACGTTTGACCACACGTTTGACCATATGTTTGACCACATGTTTGACCACACGTTTGACCACAACGTTTGACCACCTGTTTGACCACATGTTTGACCACATGTTTGACCACACGTTTGACCACACGTTTGACCATATGTTTGACCACATGTTTGACCACACGTTTGACCACACGTTTGACCACCTGTTTAACCACACGTTTGACCACACGTTTGACCACACGTTTAACCACACGTTTGACCACACGTTTGACCACACGTTTGACCACACGTTTGACCACATGTTTGACCACACGTTTGACCACATGTTTGTTTGACCACACTTTTGACCACATGTTTGACCACCTGTTTGACCACACGTTTGACCACATGTTTGACCACACGTTTGACCACATGTTTGATAACATGTTTGAACACACGTTTGACCACACGTTTGACCACATGTTTGACCACATGTTTGACCACACGTTTGACCACACGTTTGACCACACGTTTGACCACACGTTTGACCACACGTTTGACCACACGTTTGACCACACGTTTGACCACATGTTTGTTGCAGCCACGGTACCAGATGTGCAGGTGAGGTGTCGGCAGCTAAAGACAACGGGGTGTGTGGAGTGGGCGTGGCATATGGCTCCAAAGTAGCAGGTCAGTTTTTTTGTCAGTGTACAACTAAGTGGTCAGGTATGGGATCTGGTGTAGGTCTATTGTAGGTCTGTTGTAGGTCTGTTGTAGGTCTTTTGTAGGTCTGTTGTAGGTCTTTTGTAGGTCTGTTGTAGGTCAGTTGTAGGTCTGGGATCTGTTGTAGGTCTGTTGTAGGTCTTTTGTAGGTCTGTTGTAGGTCTGTTGTAGGTCTGTTGTAGGTCTGTTGTAGGTCTGTTGTAGGTCTGTTGTAGGTCTGTTGTAGGTCTGTTGTAGGTCTGTTGTAGGTCTGTTGTAGGTCTGTTGTAGGTCTGTTGTAGGTCTGGGATCTGTTGTAGGTCTGTTGTAGGTCTGTTGTAGGTCTGGGATCTGTTGTAGGTCTGTTGTAGGTCTGTTGTAGGTCTGGGATCTGTTGTAGGTCTGTTGTAGGTCTTTTGTAGGTCTGTTGTAGGTCTGTTGTAGGTCTGTTGTAGGTCTGTTGTAGGTCTGTTGTAGGTCTGTTGTAGGTCTGTTGTAGGTCTGTTGTAGGTCTGTTGTAGGTCAGTTGTAGGTCTGTTGTAGGTCTGGGATCTGTTGTAGGTCTGTTGTAGGTCTGTTGTAGGTCTGGGATCTGTTGTAGGTCTGTTGTAGGTCTGTTGTAGGTCTGTTGTAGGTCTGTTGTAGGTCTGTTGTAGGTCTGTTGTAGGTCTGTTGTAGGTCTGTTGTAGGTCTGTTGTAGGTCTGTTGTAGGTCTGTTGTAGGTCTGTTGTAGGTCTGGGATCTGTTGTAGGTCTGTTGTAGGTCTTTTGTAGGTCTGTTGTAGGTCTGTTGTAGGTCTGTTGTAGGTCTGTTGTAGGTCTGTTGTAGGTCTGTTGTAGGTCTGTTGTAGGTCTGTTGTAGGTCTGTTGTAGGTCAGTTGTAGGTCTGTTGTAGGTCTGGGATCTGTTGTAGGTCTGTTGTAGGTCTGTTGTAGGTCTGTTGTAGGTCTGTTGTAGGTCTGTTGTAGGTCTGTTGTAGGTCTGGGATCTGTTGTAGGTCTGTTGTAGGTCTGGGATCTGTTGTAGGTCTGTTGTAGGTCTGGGATCTGTTGTAGGTCTGGGATCTGTTGTAGGTCTGTTGTAGGTCTGTTGTAGGTCTGGGATCTGTTGTAGGTCTGTTGTAGGTCTGTTGTAGGTCTGTTGTAGGTCTTTTGTAGGTCTGTTGTAGGTCTGTTGTAGGTCTGTTGTAGGTCAGTTGTAGGTCTGTTGTAGGTCTGGGATCTGTTGTAGGTCTGTTGTAGGTCTGTTGTAGGTCTGTTGTAGGTCAGTTGTAGGTCAGTTGTAGGTCTGTTGTAGGTCTGGGATCTGTTGTAGGTCTGTTGTAGGTCTGGGATCTGTTGTAGGTCTGTTGTAGGTCTGTTGTAGGTCTGTTGTAGGTCTGTTGTAGGTCTGTTGTAGGTCTGTTGTAGGTCTGTTGTAGGTCTGTTGTAGGTCTGGGATCTGTTGTAGGTCTGTTGTAGGTCTGTTGTAGGTCAGTTGTAGGTCTGTTGTAGGTCTGTTGTAGGTCTGTTGTAGGTCTGTTGTAGGTCTGTTGTAGGTCTGTTGTAGGTCTGTTGTAGGTCTGGGATCTGTTGTAGGTCTGTTGTAGGTCTGGGATCTGTTGTAGGTCTGTTGTAGGTCTGTTGTAGGTCTGGGATCTGTTGTAGGTCTGTTGTAGGTCTGTTGTAGGTCTGTTGTAGGTCTGTTGTAGGTCTGTTGTAGGTCTGTTGTAGGTCTGTTGTAGGTCAGTTGTAGGTCTGTTGTAGGTCTGGGATCTGTTGTAGGTCTGTTGTAGGTCTGTTGTAGGTCTGTTGTAGGTCAGTTGTAGGTCTGTTGTAGGTCTGGGATCTGTTGTAGGTCTGTTGTAGGTCTGTTGTAGGTCAGTTGTAGGTCTGTTGTAGGTCTGGGATCTGTTGTAGGTCTGTTGTAGGTCTGTTGTAGGTCAGTTGTAGGTCTGTTGTAGGTCTGTTGTAGGTCTGTTGTAGGTCTGTTGTAGGTCTGTTGTAGGTCTGTTGTAGGTCTGTTGTATGATGTAGCTGTCCCACCTATCTCCCACAGGGCTACGCATGTTGGACCAGCCATTCATGACAGACCTGATCGAGGCCAACGCTATGGGCCACATGCCCAACGTCATCGACATCTACAGCGCCTCCTGGGGACCCACGGACGATGGGAAAACTGTGGACGGTCCGAGAAACCTGACCATGAGAGCCATCGTTAACGGCGTCAATAACGTAAGTAATGTTCCACATTAGGCAAGTGGTGACTCCTTCGTGGAGCAAGTGCTGACTCCTTCGTGGGGCAAGTGCTGACTCCTTCGTGGGGAAAGTGGTGACTCCTTCGTGGGGCAAGTGGTGACTCCTTCGTGGGGAAAGTGGTGACTCCTTCGCTGGGCAAGTCGTGACTCCTTCGTGGGGCAAGTGCTGACTCCTTCGTGGGGCAAGTGGTGACACCTTAATGGGGCAAGTGGTGACTCCTTCGTGGGGAAAGTGGTGACTCCTTCGTGGGGCAAGTGGTGACTCCTTCATGATTCTATTTAACTCTAATATTAAAGAGTCCTCACAAAAACAATGTATCGATCCCTATGTTCCTACTTAGCCAAATCTACGGCCCTCACCACCCCCTCTCACGTGACAACACCTGTGCCCTCCTACCCAGCACAGCATGAGCACAACATGAGCACAACATGAGCACAAAATCACCACAACATCACCACAACATCACCACAACATCACCACAACATCACCACAACATCACCACAACATCACCGCAACATCACCACAACATCACCACAACATCACCACAACATCACCGCAACTTGAGCACATGAGCACAGCATTAGCACAACATCCCCACAACATGACCCCACATCACCACAACATCACCACAACATGAGCACAACATCACCACAATATCAACACAACATCACCACAACATGAGCACAACATCACCACAATATCAACACAACATCACCACAACATGAGCACAACATCACCACAATATCAACACAACATCACCACAACATCACCACAACATCACCGCAACTTGAGCACAACATGAACACAACATGAGCACAACATGACCACAACATGACCACAGCATCACCACAACATCACCACAACATAACCACAACATGACCACAACAATAGGTTCGTGTTACTCCCATCTACCTCCCAGTCTAAAAATGCCACTTCCGGGACAACAAAAATAAATTCCCAGCCCAGTAGGTCGAGCTGACATTATCTCTCAAAAATGTGCTGGGGAGAGATCAACTGATGCGCTGCTTTGCTCATGCCGGATGGAGAGGGATTTGGTTGAAAAAAAATGTATCTGTTTCAAACACCTGAGTAAGCGATCACGCCGGGGAACATAAGGGTCGTCAGACGGAAATGGCCGACAGACGGCAATAATCTAAAAAAGGCAATGGTCGACAGACGGCAATAATCTAAACAAGGCAATGGCCGACAGACGGCAATAATCTAAAAAAGGCAAATGTCGACAGACGGCAATAATCTAAAAAAGGCAATGGTCGACAGACGGCAATAATCTAAACAAGGCAATGGCCGACAGACGGCAATAATCTAAAAAAGGCAATGGCCGACAGACGGCAATAATCTAAAAAAGGCAATGGTCGACAGACGGCAATAATCTAAAAAAGGCAATGGCCGACAGACGGCAATAATCTAAAAAAGGCAATGGTCGTCAGACGGAAATGGTCGACAGACGGCAATGGTTGACAGACGGCAATAATCTAAAAAAGGCAATGGTCGACCAAAGGAAATGGTCGACAGACGGCAATGGTCGACAGACGGCAATGGTAGCTATCGACTGACCCCTGCAGGCAGCTAGCGACTGACCCCTGCAGGCAGCTATCGACTGACCCCTGAAGGCAGCTATCGACTGACCCCCGCAGTCATGTCTTCCCTATGTTCTCCTGAAACCGACTGGTCGCGACATTTGATTGGCTTTTAGTCTTCGCTTTATCGGCCCTCACATCCGGTCTCAGATCACCATGGCAACACACTATGTGTGGTGTGTAGCCCTAATCTATGACGTCACAGCTGTATGAAAGGCCCCCACTTGACCTAAAGTAACAGATTTCACTTGCTAGACTCATGTCATTCTGGACGCCATCTTGTCTAATGGCCAACGTCCCGTTAGTGTTTCTTTTAGACAATTTCTCCCAAAGCAAGGGGGGTGGGGGGTGAAGGGAGGGCATTTGAAGTTTTCGGGGTTTGGGTGCGGATTTAAACTTACTGGGGGTGGGGGCTGGTTGAAATATTTTGTATAAAAATTATGTGACTTCACAGAATGCTGAGACAGAAAGTTTCAGACAATATCTTGACTGTAAAGGTCAAGGCCATTTATGTGTTGATGACGTCGTTATGTTGTGGGACCCAACTCCCCCACTCCCATGTCTCTCTCTAACCCCCCCACCCCCATGTCTCTAACTCCCCCACCCCCATGTCTCTCTCTAACTCCCCCACCCCCCTTTCTCTCCCTAACTCCCCCACCCCCGTGTATCTCTAATTTCATTTGTTTAATTTGTTTAATTCATCGGTTTCTCTAAAGTTTTATTTTTATCGAGGCTTTCCATTTTTTAACAAGCCGCGCACAGAAGATAATCATTTGATTTCATTTTGAAAAGGAATTTTTTTTTGCCAGAGAATTTTGATCGACTTTTACGTCCCTTAGCAATTAAAGATCTAATCAAATAAACACATCACATAAACATATCACATGAAAACATCACATGAACACACCATATGAACATTTCACATGAACACATCACATGAACACTTCACATAACACATCACATGAACACTTGAACACTTGATATAAACACATCACACGAACACATCACATGAACACTTCACATGAATACATCACATGAACACTTGACATAAACTTATCACATGAACACATCACATGAACACATAACATAAACACATCACATAAACACTTCACATGAACACTTCACATGAACACATCACATAAACACATCACATGAACACATCACATGAACACATCACATGAACACATCACATGAACACATCACATAAACACTTGACATAAACACATCACATGAACACATCACATGAACACATCACATGAATAATTCACATGAACACATCACATGAACACTTGACATAAACTTATCAAATGAACACATCACATGAACACATCACATGAACACATTACATGAGCACATCACATGAACACACGACATAAACACACCACATGAACACATCACATGAACACAACACATGAACACACCTTAAACTAACGCATGCCTAACCCAGAAAACACTTAAGGCTGAGGCTGCTAAAATCGATGAGTGAACTTAATTTGATTTCACTCTCATAAAACAACACACAAGATTTATATGCCAAGATAGAACCAAGTTTGCCCTGAAATTCTAATGAGAAATTATACTGAAGATATTGATTCATCCTCTTAAATGACTTACTAGCTTATGGGTCAGTTCATGGGTCAGATTATGGGTCAGCTCATGGGTCATCTTATGTTTCAACTATTGGGTCAGCTCATGGGTCAGCTCATGGCTAAGATCATGGGTCATCTTATGGGTCAACTCATGAATCAGTATAGTGCACATTTGTCAACCAACCCATAGTTGACCTCTGTTCTTACCAGCTGATGGGGGTCAATGTTAATTAGGGACACCGTTAATGAAGGTCAAGGTTGATGGGGAGGGGGTGGTGTCATTGAGTAGTGGGGTGTCACTGTGTAGTGGGGTGTCATTGAATCGTGGGGACTAGGGTGTCTACGCGTAGTTTGCCAAACATTATACACCACTGATAATTTCTATCCATTTCACCAACTATAAAAAAAACAATTGTAATTTTTCCTAGCTCCAACTTGGCCAATTCTGGCCACCCATGGAGCAAATCTACATCTTTTATGGCCATCTTCCACTTCATCTCCTGGCCTAATTATAACCAGATGATTCCATTACTTCTGCTGGCTGCTCGAGAGAAAAAGGACAGGAAGACGCCATCAACTGAATAAATTATCCACCCAAGCGGGTGTTGGGGGGGGGGGGGGACTGACTGACCCGTAGCGTGGGGTGTTGGACTAACCCATTATGGGGGGGGGGTGGCTGGACGATTCCTTTGTTTAATCCATTGTTTAGTGTGCGTGTTTTTATCCAGAATCATTTTCTCCGATTATAACAGGGCGTCCGTTGTAAGGAAGATATACAAAGTAGATGATGGCATTATGTTAAAGCTGGGAGATGAAAGTTGTTGTGTGGGTCTCTCAAGATTAAAGGTTGTGGGGGTGGTTTGTCTATCACGTGTGATGGTTGGGGGCTAGTTGGGTGTTCTATAAATGTAACCCTTGGTACATAAGAGCAACAAACGCCAGTCATGGGGTCAAGCAGGTCCCACAACAAACGCCAGTCACGAAGACTGGAAGCATTGCGTTGAGCAGAGATTTGAATCGAGTCTGTCAAATTTAAAACCAGTTTGACGGGGCGAGGACAATTTATTGTGAACTGTAAACTTGATTTACAAAGTTGATTTATGTTAGAAGATTTCATCTGTCATTTAGATTTATGTTAGAAGATTTCATCTGTCATTTAGACAGACATTTAGTCGGTGAATACAGACAATTAGCTAGTGTAAATTTAAAACAGACATTTAGTCGGTGAATACAGACAATTAGCTGGTGTAACATTTAAAACAGACATTTAGTCGGTGAATACAGACAATTAGCTGGTGTAACATTTAAAACAGACATTTCTAACTTGTGTGTAAATCAGGGTCCAAAGTATAAGAATTATTGCACCCAAAGGCTCCATGTCTCCCCCATTAGACAAGTATTTTTGTATCACTGAGGTGATTTGTTCCCCCCCCCCCTGGTCCCCTAGCCCCACCATATGACCTTGGTGTGTCTCCCCCCCCCTGTCCCCTAGCCCCACCATATGACCTTGGTGTGTCTCCCCCCTGTCCCCTAGCCCCACCATATGACCTTGGTGTGTCTCCCCCCCCCCTGTCCCCTAGCCCCACCATATGACCTTGGTGTGTCTTCCCCTCCCCCAGGGCCGCAATGGACTGGGCAACGTGTACGTGTGGGCGTCTGGTGACGGCGGGCCAAACGACGACTGCAACTGTGACGGCTACGCTGCCAGCATGTGGACCATCAGCATCAACTCGGCCACCAACGACGGTCAGACGGCCGGATATGACGAGTCATGCTCTTCGACCTTGGCCTCGACCTTCAGCAACGGCAAGAGCAACGCTCGTGACGCAGGAGTGGTGAGTACAGTCTTATTATGTGTTGCTACCAGCGTGAGTACAGATAGAATGTCTGATGGGGAAAAGACGCGCCTCTCAGCGTATAACATAATTTATTCTTTCTCTCATTTTATCCTACCTCGGGCCTATATCATCCTTACAAACTGACCACTTTGATTGGGGAGTCAAAAAGACGGCCAGTCCAAAAGAGTCCATTATACGGCCAGTCCACTAGACGGCCAGTCCACTGGACGGCCAGCCCACTAGACGACAAGTCCACTAGACGGCCAGTCCACTAGACTGCCAGTCCACTAGACGGCCAATCCACTAGACGGCCAGTCCATTAGACAGCCAGTCCACTAGACGGCCAGCCCACTAGACGGCCAGTCCACTAGACGGCCAGTCCACTAGACGGCCAGTCCACTGGACAGCCAGTCCACTAGACGACCAGTCCACTAGGAGGCCACTTTACTAGACGGCCAGTCCACTAGACGGCCACTCCACTAGACGGCCAGACGGCCAGCCCACTAGACGGCCAGCCCACTAGACGGCCAGTCCACTGGACGGCCAGTCCACTAGACGGCCAGTCCACTAGACGGCCAGTCCACTCGACGGCCAGTCCACTGGACGGCCCGTCCACTGGACGGCCAGTCCACTGGGCGGCCAGTCCACTACACGGCCAGTCCACTACACGGCCAGTCCACTAGACGGCCAGTCCACTAGACGGCCAGTCCACTGGACGGCCAGCCAACTGGACGGCCAGTCCACTAGACAGCCAGTCCACTAGACGACCAGTCCACTAGGAGGCCACTTTACTAGACGGCCACTCCACTAGACGGCCACTCCACTAGACGGCCAGACGGCCAGCCCACTAGACGGCCAGTCCACTCGACGGCCAGTCCACTGGACGGCCAGTCCACTGGACGGCCAGTCCACTGGACGGCCAGTCCACTAGACGGCCAGTCCACTAGACGGCCAGTCCACTAGACGGCCAGTCCACTGGACGGCCAGCCAACTGGACGGCCAGTCCACTAGACAGCCAGTCCACTAGACGACCAGTCCACTAGGAGGCCACTTTACTAGACGGCCACTCCACTAGACGGCCACTCCACTAGACGGCCACTCCACTAGACGGCCAGACGGCCAGCCCACTAGACGGCCAGTCCACTAGACGGCCAGTCCACTCGACGGCCAGTCCACTGGACGGCCAGTCCACTGGACGGCCAGTCCACTAGACGGCCAGTCCACTAGACGGCCAGTCCACTAGACGGCCAGTCCACTAGACGGCCAGTTTACTAGACGGCCAGTCAACTCCTGGTATCAGAAACTAAGTGGCGCGGCCATGACGTTTTTCCTGACCTATTTGATGAGTTCACGCCTTAAATCTTACTCACCTTTAATCAGAAACATCCGTCAAAGTAATTACTTGTCGGGGCACTTTTCCTCCCTCCCCTCCCCTCCCCTCACTGCTGTCTCCTCCCTCGGGAGGAAGAAGCTCTCATCTTTTTCTGTTTTTGATTCCTGTGTCATCTGTTTTTGCTGTCAGTCCACATAACATTCTCAATTAATTATCTCACATTTACACTTAATTATCCCACATTTACACTTAATTATCCTACCTAACATTCTCACTTAATTAATTATTCCACATAACATTCTCACTTAATTATCCCACATTCTCACTTAATTATCCTACCTAACATTCTCACTTACTTAATTATCCCACCTAACATTCTCACTTAAGTCTTGCCTATTAAAATCTATTTCTATTACTGGTGTTTTCCTTAAGTTTCTCTAATTGACCCGCACCTTATCCTCCTCCCCCCCCCCCCCCCCCAGGCCACCACGGACCTCTACAACAACTGTACAGCCAGCCATTCCGGTACATCAGCGGCAGCACCCGAGGCCGCAGGGGTGTTCGCTCTTGCTCTGGAGGCAAAGTAAGTAGGTCATAGGTCATGTGTTGCTGGTGTAGGTCATAGGTCATTTGTTGCTGGTGTAGGTCATAGGTCATTTGTTGCTGGTGTAGGTCATAGGTCATTTGCTGTTGGTGTAGGTCATAGGTCATTTGTTGCTGGTGTAGGTCATAGGTCATTTGCTGACTTTTGTGAATGTAATCCACTAAATAGCGATGTGCAAAATGTTAAACTCATCCATTCATCCATTTATCTATTCATTCATTTCTTTATTTAGTCGTTAATTTATTCATTCACTCCATTCTGTATTGCTATATAAGAATATTCGAGAAAGCTTACGTGCGTTTATTGCCGTTTTATTTAGTTGATGTTTACATTCACATTTTAATTGTCATCCACATTCTTATACATGTACACATTGACATCCACATTCCCTAGCCATGTACACATTAACATCCACATTCCCTAGTCATGCACACATTGACATCCACACTTCCCTAGCCATGTACACATTAACATCCACATTCCCTAGCCATGTACACATTGACATCCACATTCCCAAGCCATGTACACCTCTCTCTCTCTCTCTCCCAGCCGTAACCTGACCTGGCGCGACATGCAACACCTGACAGTACTCACCTCCAAACGCAACAGCCTCTACGACTCTAACGGCATCCACCACTGGAAGCTGAACGGCGCCCACCTGCTCTTCAACCACCTGTTTGGCTATGGTGTTTTGGACGCTGCCAGCATGGTAGACCTGGCCAGTCAATGGCGTGGCTTGCCAGAAAGGTTTCATTGTAAGGCCGGCTCGGTCAGTGCTGAAAAGTAAGGCTTTTAAAAAATTGTTTTTACAGAAAAGTGTGGGTGTGTGGGGTTGTGTTGGGTTACATGTTGTTGTGTGGGGTTGTGGTTACATGTGGGGTTGTGTTGGGTTGAATGTGGGTGTGTGGGGTTGTGTTTGGTTGAATGTGGGTGTGTGGGGTTGTGTTGGGTTACATGTGGGGTTGTGTGGGGTTGTGTTGGGTTGAATGTGGGTGTGTGGGGATGTGAGTGAGTGTGAGGGGAACTGAATGGTGAAAGATTTCCTTGTAAAACCAAAGTACAGCTGACCTTTGCTCTGTCCCCAGGCCGTTCTCCTTTGGCAAGCCACTGCGCATGAGCATAGAATCTGACGGCTGCTTCGGTACGGAGAATGAGGTCAACTACTTGGAGCACGTGCAAGCATTTATCACCTTGAGGTCCACCTACAGGGGGTGTGTCACCATGTACCTGACATCCCCCATGGGAACCACGTAAGTGTGAGCCAGACCTTTGGGAGGTTAGTTCAGACCTTTGGGAGGTCAGTGCTGAGTCAGCAGTTATTTGACCTATTCAAAGTCACTGACCTGCTTCCTTTGTCTGACCCCTGACATACCTGACCCCCTGACCTACCTGACCTCTCCGACCCCCTGACCTACTCGACACATGACCTATCTGACCCCTAACCTCTCTGACCCTTATCTCTCTGACCCCTACCTCTCTTATCCTCTGACCTACCTGACCCCTGATCTCTCTGACCTCCCCCACCTGACCTCTCTGACCCCCCTGACCTCTCTGACCCCTGACCTCTCTTACCCCCCCCTGACCACTCTGACCCCTGACCTCTGTGCCCCACAGCTCCATGATCCTGAGCCAGCGTCCCAACGACGACGACGACAAGAACGGCTTCACCCGCTGGCCCTTCATGACGACCCACACCTGGGCCGAGCTGTCCCGCGGTGCGTGGACCCTGGACATCGTCATGGAGCCCATCATGGGGGTCAAGACCAACATCGAGACGGGGTTCTTCAAGGAGTGGACGCTGGTCTTACATGGGACCAAAACAGCGCCCTACGCCAACCAGCCTGCAGGTACGCTCATTCATTTACAGCCGCCTGTAGCCTTCATCAGCCGCGTGTAGCCTTCATCAGCCGCGTGTAGCCTTCATCAGCCGCGTGTAGCCTTCATCAGCCGCGTGTAGCCTTCATCAGCCGCGTGTAGCCTTCATCAGCCGAGTGTAGCCTTCATCAGCCGCCTGTAGCCTTCATCAGCCGAGTGTAGCCTTCATCAGCCGCCTGTAGCCTTCATCAGCCGCGTGTAGCCTTCATCAGCCGCGTGTAGCCTTCATCAGCCGCGTGTAGCCTTCATCAGCCGCCTGTAGCCTTCATCAGCCGCCTGTAGCCTTCATCAGCCGCCTGTAGCCTTCATCAGCCGCGTGTAGCCTTCATCAGCCGCCTGTAGCCTTCATCAGCCGCCTGTAGCCTTCATCAGCCGCGTGTAGCCTTCATCAGCCGCCTGTAGCCTTCATCAGCCGCCTGTAGCCTTCATCAGCCGCCTGTAGCCTTCATCAGCCGCGTGTAGCCTTCATCAGCCGCCTGTAGCCTTCATCAGCCGCCTGTAGCCTTCATCAGCCGCGTGTAGCCTTCATCAGCCGCCTGTAGCCTTCATCAGCCGCCTGTAGCCTTCATCAGCCGCCTGTAGCCTTCATCAGCCGCGTGTAGCCTTCATCGACTGAGTGTTCTTGTAGCAAACCCTAACCTTACTCAACCCATGGGACGGTGTGGTCATATTGTATGTTTATGGCGTCAAGATTAACATATTGTATGTTTATGACGTCAAGATTAACATATTGTGTGTTTATGACGTCAAGATTAACACTACTGTTGTATGTTTATGACGCGTGATTAACCTACTGTTGTATGTTTATGACGCGTGATTAACCTACTGTTGTATGTTTATGACGCGTGATTAACCTACTGTTGTATGTTTATGACGCGTGATTAACCTACTTTTGTATGTTTATGACGCGTGATTAACCTACTTTTGTATGTTTATGACGCGTGATTAACCTACTTTTGTATGTTTATGACGCGTGATTAACCTACTGTTGTATGTTTATGACGTGTGATTAACCTACTTGTGACGCCACTTCTCCCCAGACAAAGAGCGTCATGAGAAGCTGTACCTTGTACGACGTGCCCACGAGAGCGGCGTCATCCAGGAGTAGCGTCGGGCGGCGCTGGGCGGTCCCCCAGGGGTCAGCCGCCCCTCCTCTGCGAGAACAACCTTGTTCAGCCCGACCTGGGACTGTTTGTTTTGGAGGAGTTCGTCCCCTTGTCTGCTTCGTCGCGGTGGCATACTTTAGTATTAGACATGTTTCAGATTTCATCCAGTCCTTCTGTTCTTGTTCCCGTGTTATACAACTAAAAGATTCCAAATTTAGTGCATTTTGTTGCTTTGAGTTTTGTCTTAGAACTGTTTTGTATTTTTTATTGCAAATAATGTTTGGTGACTGATGATTTGCGTCCTTTTTGTGACGGCGTACAATTATGATTTGATTACAGAAGCCCTTCTACACCTAGCACAAATTGTTTTAAAACCTCGCAATGTGCTATGAATTGGTGAAGTCACACAATGAAACCGCTTGTAGCACCCTGTACAGTCGGCACTGACTCGGTAACTCGGGAGTAAAAAGAGAAATAACTCCATTTCATTGGCCATCCCGTATCAAAACCTTAGAAACAAAGCACCCACATTTACATACAAACTTGTGATTTTTAGTCATTTTTGTTATTAATCGCGTGTTGTTTTGTTATTATAAGTTTGTATTAGCGTTATATTTTTGTTTGCTCTATTGAAAAGTGATTTATTGTTGTAAATATTCATGTTGCAAACTCCTAAAACACTATTGTTGTGATCTACAGTTGACATAAGAATTAATTAGAGACGTATTTTGCAATATTAAACTCGTATATTCAAGTGCATCAATTGAAAACTAATCAAATGAAAAGGACACTTTTACACCAAATCACGAAGTCATCATTAATTATCAGATCATTAACAAGTTATCTTAGCTAGGCTGAGACGACTTGTAACTCTAGCCCACCCCACCCCAGCTGGCAATGGTCAAGGTCAGCCGTTGTTCATGCTATGAAGTGACGTCTACACCCCACGGGGAGAAACAAACACACCGCCCCACCTCTTGATGCCTGCAGCCGTACAGAAGCTGCATCCATGTCCTCAGTTGACCTTACCGAAGCTAGCTGTGGATATCTTAGAAAACATTTCTTAGTTTAATTTCTAGGAATTCTAAAGACTGTCTGTGATAATTGTTTCCTAGAATCGTCTGTGAGTCCATGTTTTTATTATTCCAAAACTCAGAGATCAGACCCATCGGTGACGTCATTCAATAGTTCCGACGTTAGTGTCCCCATTGCACAATAAACTTATTTTATTAGTAACCAGTCTCTCGTGTTGGACTTCATTTTAGAATAGAGGGGTGTCACTCAACTTGAGCAGGGTGTTTCACTCAACATAAGTAGGGTGTTTCACTCAACGTGAGCAGGGTGTTTTAACATGAGCAGGGTGTTTCACTCAACATAAGTAGGGTGTTTCACTCAACTTAAGCAGGGTGTTTCACTCAAAATGAGTAGGGTGTTTCACTCAACATGAGCAGAGTGTTTCACTCAACGTGAGCAGGGTGTTTCACTCAACATGAGCAGGGTGTTTCACTTAACATAAGCAGGGTGTTTCACTCAACATGAGCAAGGTGTTTCACTCAACATAAGCAGGGTGTCACTCAACATGAGTAGGGTGTTTCACTCAACATAAGCAGGGTGTTTCACTCAACATGAGTAGGGTGTTTCACTCAACGTGAACAGTGTGTTTCACTCAACGTGAGCAGGGTGTTTCAATCAACATAAGCAGGGTGTTTTAACATAACCACGGTGTTTCACTCAACATAAGCAGGGTGTTTCACTCAGCATGAGCAGTCACTCAAAATGAGTAAGGTGTTTCACTCAATATGAGCAGTCACAAAATGTGCAGGGTATTTTAAGATAAGTAGGGTGTTTCACTCAACAGAAGCAGGGTGTTTCGCTCAACATCAACAGGGTGCTTTTAACATGAGAAGGGTGTTTCACTCATTAGCAGTGTGTCCCTGATACAATGGTTGTTTCACTCATTAGCAGTGTGTCCTTGATATAATGGTTGTTGAACTCTACCTTTGAAATAACGAGTAATCTAAAGAATTTTTCAGCTTTACTGGCCAAATGGTAGTTTTAGGTTGTTGTCACCCACACACCTGAACCAACATGAACCACCCATCACACACATGAACCACCCACCACAAACATGAACCACCCACCACACACGTAAACCAGTCACCACACACATAAACTAGTCACATGCACACGTGAACCAACCATCACACACATGAACCACCCACCACAAACATGAACCACCCATCACACACGTGAACCAGTCACCACAAACAGCCAGTCCAGTGTTTCTTCCAGACTTTTTTTCTCCGGGGGGGGGGGGGGGCGGTAGACTTTCTTCGGGGGGGGGGGGGGTGCGGACACTGTTAAAAGTATATATTTTCTATATAAATTATATAAATTTCATTTCATTCGGGGGGGGGGGGGGGGGGCGGTAGAATTTTTCGGGAGGTCTTTGCCCCCCCCCCCCTCCCCGAAGAGATGCCTGTCTATCCGTGTACCCCCAGCCACACCTCTCCATCGTACCTCCGTAGCTATTCCTTCAAGCTGGGTCCATGCTATTTCCGTGGCTTGTGCATCACTGACAACTTTTCCAAGTCTTACTTCAGCATGCTAGTGGTAGATCGTTTAGTTCATGTAAAATATAACGTAATTTTTGTTTTTTAAATAAAAAACTTTTTGTATATAATTATGCACTAAAAAGTGGAAAATCATATATTTTCTTTAAATAATAATGAAATGAAATTATGTAAATAACTTATAAGGAAAGCACGAGTAGCTTCTTAAATGTTAGTAAAGGTAAACTAAGCCATTCACTAGATAATATAGTGGTGGGGGGGGGGGGGGGCGGACTAAAATTTTCAGGGGGGGGGGACGACGACGACACTGTTAAAAGTATATATTCTCTATATAAATTCCATTTCGTTCGGGGGGGGGGGGGGGTAGACTTTCTTCGGGGGGTGGGGGGGGGGGGCACCACGAAAACATGCCTGGAAGAAACTCTGAACACGAGGATGGTGTGTGTAAAAGCGCGAAAAAAATGGTAGGCTTACTTTAAATAGGAAATTTTAATTAATACTTAAAACAATAATTAAGTATCCAATTAAGTGAAATTTGCTGTCATCAGGTCTTAACCTATGTGTCAAGTTTGTAAAAAATTGATTCGTTAAAAATTGTTGAAATTTGGCTTGCCAGTTTCGATCCATAAGACAAAAACAAGTTAATAAAAAGTCTAGTGACAAGTTAAGCGCAATTTCCTTAATTAATTTTTTGTGACCGAACGAAAGGATATTTTTGAAAACTTTCTTCGGCAATATTGTTCTAAATTATGGCAGGAATCGATTGGTAAATGTTTCAAGTCGCTAAGTGGTCTGGTTGCCGAGATATGGGCAAAAAACTGCATTTTCCCGAGGTTTTTTTTTTTGGCTTTTCCGGGAAATCCAGGAAGGAATTCCGGGAATTTTTTTGGCCCACAATCATCCTCGGAACTTGCTTAACATATTTGCTTTTGGAACTAGTCCTCGATATTGCTTTGTTGAGGAGGAGATACGACTTAAAGCTGCGGACACACATCCATCCATCCATCCATCCATCCATCCAGAAATAACGAATTAATAATCGCAATAGTCAGTATGGAAATTGCGCTAAAAAAGACAAACAGATGAAGCAAGTTAAAAAAAGCTTGTAAAAATCCGAAAGGTGGCGAAAAATATTTTAAGCCATCATATAAAAATAGGAATCAAATTTCAATTTGGAACACGAAACATTTTGTCAACATTAGTCTAATAACTAAATAACTATACTTGTAACTTTATACTAGATCTAAATAATAGAATCTAATACTAATATTATTAAATTAAAATTAATATTTCAACGAGGATTAAACTAGTTACCAAGCTACAGTATTAGATTTCTAGTTCTAAATCTAGCTAGGTCTAGGTCCTAGCTGGATTCCTAGATCTAGAAATTATCTAGATCTAGATTCTAGACTCTATGTCACTCTATTCTCTATCACTATCTATGATGAGTATGAGTCTATTTTAGATCTAAATTCTAAATCTAAGATTCTTGAAACTATTTTCCATAAATTTTGAATTTTGCTTCTTCATTCTTCTTTGATTCTTTGGTAACTTGACTTTCAAATTTCAATATTTGGGTGTGGGGAAATTGCGAGACGCGAAAAGCGAAATGGTGAGGCGGGAAAATGCGAGAAGGGCGCGAAAACGGTCGGTCACGTGACTTTTTGTCTCGCATTTTACCACAAGCCGATACTTACGCTGGGTGGTGTTGAAATGCGAAGATTTCTGCGAAAAATTTACCGCACCCGATTTTCAGTGGTATTTGGTCCAGACTTCAAAGACGTTTCGTTTACATTGTTAAAACTTCCGATTTTTCCGTCGCTAGACATACTGATGATTTGTCAACTCCCCCCATCTTTTGTGTCGACTTAGAATACCACCTTGTTCGAAACCGACGGAAATACCGCCGACGATAGATCAACTTCTGTCTTTTGTGTGGAACGCCGAGGCCGCCTGATTTACCGTCTTTGAAGATCGCCGTGCCCGGATCCGCTGCCACCGCAAACATATTTTCTATTGTTGCATAGAAATTTTGTGTTATACCTACGATTTTTTTCTAGCATTTTTACCTTATAAATCTAAGCACAAGGAAATGCCTACATCATTTGGATATAACAAAATAAAGTGACATCACCGATATTATCAGTTGCTCGTGCTCTATCGTAAGCTATGGGCCTACTTCAAATATTTTTAAAACCAAGTTGAACTTATCTGAATTTTTTGGTTTTGGTGGTGGTGTTATTTGGGGTCTTCCATAAATGACGTCACACTCGTAGGGGGGGGGGGGGTTAGATGTGAAGTCACACTATAAAAAAGCAATGTTAGAAAAAGAATTGTAGACGTTTTTTCGCGTTTTAGAAAACTGTTTTAATACATTGTAATAGGAATTGATTAAAATACTCTATTTTGACCGAAATTAGACAAGATTTTGAGAAAATATCGATGTTTTAAAAAAACTCAACTGCTGGTGACAACAATGAGCAAGACATTGCCAAAATTACAGAAATGATAAAAAATACAAATTATAAAAAACGGAAAACAGATGTTGAGCGTGCGGATGATGATGATGAGAACATGGGTGCCAGTGTTGTTTGTGGGATAAACGAGGAGGTCAACTGTGATGAGAATGTGAATTGTTGTGAATGTGGATTGGAAGAAGTAGCAAAAGAAAAATGTATAAATGGGAGTCTAATGAACTGGGTTGGGTGTACTATGTGTGAAAGATGGTGTCACGAGGTGTGTTTGAGGACTGTTTCAGAAGATTTTGTTTGTAAATTTTGTTTGTAATTAAAATTACTTAATTAAAAAAAAATGCACTTTTTAGAATTGTTTATACTTTTACACTTTTTGCAAGTACAAAAATCCAAAAATAGATGTTGCAAAATATCTCTCCTGCTGACAAGATTATACTAATTCACAATGACACAGCTCACGTTTGTATAAACATGAGCGGGCTAGATTTTTAAATTAATGCCGACTGAGACGGGATTTTCCTCTCGCTAACAAGAGCGGGCGATGACAGTAGCACAGCAACGATGTTAGGATTTTTAAATAGATCTAGATCTATCTATCTTCTTAGTATCTAGATAAAAAAATAACAACATACAACACTCGTGTTAAAGGGTATGGCTTAATGCTTGTTTATTTTAAAACAAAAAAAAATAATTTAAATAAATAAAGATGGAAAAAAAAGGAAAAAAACTTTTTTCGCAAAAAGTGTCTCGCTATTTACCCTTAATTCCGCAGGTATGTCTCGCATTACCTTCTCGCACTTTCCCGCCTCGCCATTTCGCTTTTCGCGTCTCGCAATTTCCCCACACCCTCAATATTTTATTCATTTAGAATTTAGGCCCTATTCAAAAAGTATAGGCCTAATATTCCTAATAAGTTAGGCCTAATTGAAAATTATTAGAAATAAGACTAATTAGTAGTAATTAGTAATTAGACTAAAAAAAATAACCCATCAAAAGTGCCTTGCCTAAATTGAATTAAATGCCTAACGCCCTAACGGTGAGGTAGAAGACATCTCAGTGACAGCCCATAGGTACTAGTGGTAACCTATCGTTTTAGGTACATAAAATAGCCCGTGGCTAGTCAATGTACGAAAAAGTTACCTCATTGTCAAGGCTTTAATAAATTAATAGAAGTAGATCTATATTGTGATATATTTGTGCCAAATATTATAGATAAATGAATAATAAACCTAAATCAATGGCTAAATATATCAATATATATAGGCAAGAAATTAACTTTAAACAGCAGTGTTTGCTAGCAGGGTTTGCTATATAAAAAGCGACCATCTGTAGTAAGTTAGAGTGGCTTCCCCTGAATCTTGTGCTATAATTTTACAATAAAAAAAATATAAACAAGATGGCTGCTGTAGTAAATGAGCATGGTTGCATCTGTTGGAAACATCCCTAGTCTTCATTTATTACTGAAAAGCTTTAATTAAGTTGTTTAAAAACAGGTACATAAATGAAACAAGGAAACATTTTTGTATTTTTCAAAACATAAATCATCAAAATGTGAAATAATTATTAAAATTTAAGAAGTCACCTGTTTTTCACATTACTAGTCGCGGGCGATTTTACGTACCTAAAACGATAGATTACCGTACTATCATTCAGCGGGCGCGATGGCGCCCGCGGGCACCGTGTTGGGAACCCCTGCTTTAGTATATAGCCTTTTTTACTTTCTCGTATATACAAAGTAAAGAGAAAGTGTTGTAATCGTGCAAAAAAAAAAAAACATAGTTTTGCAATCTTGTTCGTACATCTGTGTGTGTGTGTGTAAACACGATAAATTGAGTACCGTTACAGCTAGGTTGATGAAATTTCATAATATATAAGAATTTTTTATCAAAATCGTAGATCCGTATGAACTTTTGAGCGATTTCCGATAACTGGAAGTGGAACTTTTTCTACTTTGAATTTTTCAAAAGCCTATAACTTCAGTACTATTTCAGATAGATAAATAAAATTTCACATGTAAGTAAAATATCTAATTCTTTGCCCTCTATCAAATTTTGAGTAATTTCCATTGACCGGAAGTAGTAATTTTCGCTATTTCCGATTTCTCAAAAAACCCATGTCATTTTATAAAGTACTAATAATATTCCGCACTATTTTGCACATTTTATTTGGCGTTCACTTGGTGTGTCATTCTTTTTTCTACGAGATTTTATTCGATTTCAAAAAGTTTAAGTATTTAAAATGGATTTAAAATCATGTCTATATCCCGAGTTGCCATCCCCTGTTGTTTCATATAAGAATATTCGAGAAAGCAACCCTTGAACTTAAGTAATAAAGTGGAGGTTCAGAAAGTGTGATGACAAACTGACTTTATGATGTTTTTAAAAAACTTGTTTGTGGATTGCCAATAAAAAATAAAAAATTGGAAAAAATTGTTTTAAAAAGTGGGACTTCATTTACTGCTAACCCCTAAAATAGGCCAAGGTGAAGCTACAGCTAAATTTCTTCAGATATATATTTATGGGAGTAATCCTAACCTTTGCTTTTTAAAAGTTTCCATCATTGTCCACCTGTAAACCCTTGTCAGTCTAGTGACTGCTGAAAGTAATAGTAATTCAGTTATTATTGAGTTCTTATATAATCAGATTATAGGCCTTTTACATGTATGAATGCAAAGGGACACAAGACCAAAACTTGGAGTCAGCTTGATTCGTTTGGTTATATTTCCTCTCCCTCTTTTTGTAAGCCCTCTAGTGCCCCTCTATTGTGTTTTCTTTGGAATCTTTGGAATTAGCACAAATTACTGAACCTACAGCATAGTGTGCTGTAACATAATTGATGTCAATTTATAATCAATCAGTTTTGCTAAATCATTTTGAAATTTGAATACTTTCCAGGAGAAATCAAAATGGCGTGGTGGAAAATGGGTGTGTTCTTCAGCTTTGTGGCCGCTGCAGTCCTAAGAAGAATCACAAGATACAAACGGCTCTGCCCTAGCCAGGCCAATTTGAATGGGAAAACTGTTCTTATCACTGGAGCTAATAGTGGTATTGGCAGGGCTACAGCTATTGAACTAGCAAGAAGAAAAGCTAAAGTAATCTTGGCTTGCCGAAGTATTCTTTCAGCCAAAGAAACAGAGCAACATATTAAAAGAATGACTGGGAATAGTATGGTTATCTCCAAAGAGCTTAATTTAGCATCACTTAACTCCATTAAACAATTCTGTACACAAATTCTTGAAGAAGAACAAAAAATAGATATTCTTATTAACAATGCTGGAGTCTTCCAGTGCCCTTACACAAAAACAGAAGATGGCTTTGAAATGCAGATGGGGGTCAACCATTTTGGTCACTTCCTTTTGACATCTCTTTTGTTGGATAAAATAAAATCGTCGTCTCCAAGCAGGATAGTTATAGTGTCATCAGCATTAAGCAAGAGAGGATCCATAAAGTTTGAGGACGTACACAGTGAACTCCACTACAGCAAAACCCAAGCCTATGCTGACAGTAAACTTGCTAACTTGCTGTTTGCCAGGGAGCTTAGCCAGAGGCTGCAGGGCACAGGGGTGGATGTTCTATCACTCCATCCTGGCATGGTGGTGACTAATCTTGGCCGACATGTCATGCCAAAATATCTGGTCAACATTATTGGGCCTGTGGCTGTTTTCTTGGGCCTGCGGGATGCCAGTGAAGGTTGCCAGTCTGTTGTGTATTGTGCAGTGGCCGATGAGCTTCAGGGCAAGTCTGGCATGTACATCGGCAAGGACTGTAAAGAATGCCAGTACCCTGTCAATGCCTTAGATGATGAGGCAGCTAAACAACTGTGGAGCTTGAGTGAAAAGCTAACAAAACCATATTTATGATGTGCTATCTCTAGTTGTGTTTTAATTAGAAACACATTATAGATTTTTTTAAAAATAAGAGCAGATAATTACATTGTAATCTAGTAATTTTTATTGATTGTATATAAATATGTAATAAATAGACAACTAGTATAGTTTAAGCTTTCTCGAGTTATGTACACATACCTTTCCTAATTTCTATTTGATGTGAAATAATTTACTGCTGTAAGAAACTAGAATGCTATTTTGAATTTGATATAAGTGCAGTAATTAAACTGAAACATGTATTGAGTTCATTTTGATCTATCTCCTGTGTCCAGTACTATGTTGATATGTTTCCAATATCTATTCAGTCACCAATGATAATTTTTTTTAAATGTAGGTCTATAATATAATTAATAAATTATTGCTGCATTTTTACTTCATGAATGTCATGCAGACTTGATACTTGATAGTCCTAAATAATACATAACATTTCTATGTATTTCGAGTCACTAATAAAGTTTAAAAGTAATAAGAAATATCTAAATCTCCTTGCCCACTTACAATATCTACACATTCTTCATTAACAAACATGTAGGCATTTGGGGTTGTTTTTTTTAAAAATACATTATAATAAATATAAAATAAAAATGCGAACCTTATTTTCATATTTATTTTGAAGTTATCTCCCTTTTTACAACAATAATAAACCATTGCATAGCTTCAAAAAAAAATTTGGTCCTGTGCTTACGGCTTACTTATAGACTCTAGATCTAGATCCTCTAGTTACCGATGTGTGTATACTATTTGTTTAGGGGTTAGGATATATTAAATTCATTGTTTCAAACGCTTAATTCTAATAAAAGAGCGTTTCAATTTTCTATGCTAGGACTTTTAAAGAGAAGTAAGTAACCAGACTACAGTTGAGAGTGGGAAACAGGGGAGGACGAGTCCAGACACATTTTTTCAAATTTGTTTTTCACATTTTTTTGACTCGTGGATTATTGAAAATAATGAAAACCTATTAATATAATCTTGATTCTTTCAGCACAACGAATAATCGACACTTGTTGCTTAGCTTACTGTTTAAAAAAATTATTTTACAATTTATAGATCTAATTCTAGTAGGCCTATAATTATGTATAGTACATTAGTAGGCCTAATGAATCAATGATCCATTAAAGTATGATTAAAGTATTTATTGTATGGCTGAGGCTGTTTATTAGTGTTTAGGCCTATATTATATATTTTTATATAATTATATACTAATAATACTATATAGTGAACTACAAATAGCCCTCAGAAGCCTATTTGTAGTGAACTACATATACTATTGATAGCCTTCAGAAAGCTATTGGTACACTGACCAATCAGGCATTATGATTTGTTTTGCCTTCTGAGGGCTATTCATCATACTCCTAGACATAGTGAACTACAAATAGCTCACAAACATTTGGAGGAGTTTCAGAACAGTAATTTTCTTTTAATGTAAAAAACATTAACTTATCAATGGGAACAATAGGACTACCTTGCAATAAACATTTAACAACATTATATAACATACCTTTGAACATCAACTGACCTGTCTATTGTTACTCCAGTCACATAATAGTTAATACACACACTGGTCACTTATAAATTTACTCTATTGTTACACCTGCCACATAATACAAAGGTCACCTATAAATTTACTCTATGGCACAAAACTTAATATGAAAACTCACTAAATAAACTTGTGGATATAGAATTAGACTGATAAAAAGACAATGACATAAAAAGAAATTTGAATTATAAAATAATGCCATAAGGAAGACAAATTAAAATGCATAAGTATTAGGAAGACAAATTAGGTAATATTGAGTAATATAAATCATTGTTTGAAATCTCCACAATTGTTTGAACTGTGTCCACATATTCTCTGTAAAATCAGCTGTCACAGTGTACACATTCAAGTAGTCGATGGTTTTCTCATCATCTTTAATAGAGCTCTAGCCATTTGGTGTCCGATTTCCTTATGAATCACAATGTTGATCAACTATGTTTGACTGTGAAAATGACTTTGTTACTTTGGGCACCCATCAGCCATTTTGTGTTGGCATCAACAATCACTGCAAACCCAATTCACTGCAATTAAGCTAATCTAACCGTAGTTATACAAATAAATGTTTTAAATTGTAGTCAACCCATGCTTGTAGATCTGAAAAAACTAAGACCATGTGAAATATGACACAAGGAAGGTTCCAAACTAGTGCCTATTAGGAAAAATGTTGACCTGAGAATTTAGAGAGGGCAGTGGTACAAATTCCTCGTTGATCTATTCCCTGCTGGACACTGGGGGCCATGAGTGACTTGAATCCACTGCTTGTCTGTGATCAGAGAACTGATGTGGATGGATCTATTCCCTGCTGAGGGCTATGAGTGACTTGAATCCACTGCTTGTCTGTGATCAGAGAACTGATGTGGATGTTACATCAAAAGGGGATCTGATCTAGTGGGGGGGGGGGGGGGGTTGACGAGTAGGGATTATTTGTCTAATAACCTGATTTACCCTACTCTGATAGTAGAAAATACCTTCTCAAATACAATGGCTCCTCTGCTAGGTATCTGATAACTTGTTTCCCCAAATTTAATAGGTTGGGTGGGGGGACTCAATTGCTTCCCTCCTCCACAGGCCAACAGCCAGGTGACTGTAACAATATAAATATATTGTTTACTGTTAGTTACAATTTTACAGTATAACCTAAATAAATATTTAACTTTAATACAAAAAAAGAATTATTATTAATATTTATCAATGTTTTTCACACATTTTAAAGCTAAGTTAATTACCCAATTCATCTATTACATAAAAATCTTGATTGTAATTTACAGGTCCATATCCTGCATATCATTTCAGCTACCCCAGCCAGTTGTCTGATGTTGACAGAAAATGGTTGTCAAAAAGTCAGAATACCAGAACCAGTATAAGGCATCCGTTATTAAGAAGCATCAAGACGTCTATTTAGAGAACTTAAGCTTACGCCACCAAAGAAGAGACCAGCAGTTTCTCCACACTCCAATCTGCTGGGGGGAGACTAGTGATGAGGATGAGATTGTGACATCTGACAGCAATGATGAGGGCAGTGCAGCTCAAGGAAAGAACAAGAAGAAAACAGTGTGTGAGCCTGAAGAACAGTACCAGTCTTTGGCTGAAATACTTACAGAGTCCAAGGCTAAATCTGACGCTTTTAAAAAGCTAAAGAAATGTGATCAGTATGATCTGGAAGTAGACAAAACATGCTCAGAACACTTGAACATTGCCAGGACTGATATTAAGGATATCCCTGATAAATCACAAGCTGTCACAGATCTGGTTAAAGATGAGAGGAAGAAATGCCCCCCAGGGATGGGCCACACATACGCCCTTACTACAGAGAAACTTCCGGAGGTTTTGTTGTCAGACAATGATGAGCCAACACATGGCGACATGAAAAATTCTCAGTTTAATTTGCGACAGAAAAATATCTCACAGAAAAGGAGTAAAGAACCTCTTACCACTAAGAAAGAAATCTCTACCTTAAGAAACAAACAATTCAGAATAGAAAGTCAAGGTATGCAGTGCTTTTTTTTAATCAATTACTTTATTTTCTAATAAAACTTACTTACAACTTGTTAGGTTAGAATTCTTCAAATAATAGATTTTAGATTTTGGTAAATAAAAATACATTGATATGCAGAGGTTTAGGTTCTTCAATCTTTAAAATGTATTATTCGCTCAAGACTTTTTGTGTAAAGAAAATGCTTAGCTTAGACAGTCATGATACTAATAATAGTTCATATTTATTATGATTGTAAACAAACACATTTTCTTGTATTTTTTTGTTTGGCTTAATGTACACCATATTGAATTAAAAGAACACATTGCTTCCATTCTACAAGCAGATGAGGGCAAATACAGAGAGCACCAGACTGTGGTGCCACCTTTGTCACTGTCGTCCAGGCTACAAGCAGCTGACAGACAGCTTCAGTTGGCTAAGCCTAAACGACCTCGACCCTCGTCAAGGCAGCTCCCAGCTAGCAAACCACCTTTCATGGCGTACGGTGTTGGGGACAGAGAGGACTCAGTCTCTGTACATAGAACTCACAATGTTAGGGCATTGGCTGATGTAAGTGGTATCTTTTTAAATACTCAATCCCATTATTTTAAGGTACACACAACTCACAATGTTAGGGCATTGGCTGATGTAAGTGGTTTCTTTTTAAATACTCAAGCCCATTATTTTAAGGGTGGATTAAAACTAAATATTATATGCTGAGTGGTACACAGTTAAGTGGTCACAAATCTTGACATGTTTTTACAAGTTTTTATTTAACTGCTTCCTCTGTGGTGCCTTTTTCTTATGGGTCGAAACTGGTGAGCGCAATTTAGACTACTTTTAATGTACAGATTCATTTCAAACTTTGCACTAGAAATTCTAAGAAATTGCTATTTTCCATACTCTTATACATACATTTTTCGTGTTCATTTGGTGCACACTTGTATTTAGTCATGCAACTCTATTATATTTAAAAAATTTAAGCACTGAAAACAAATTCATAAAAACCGTTTTAATAACAAGCTTTATTTAATTTTGCACTTAAAAGGAGAAAATAAATGATTTTCTTTAAATATATAAGTATGCACTACTATTTAAATAACTATAAAGAAGAGTGTCTATCACTATGTTATGTATTAAAAACCTTTACTAAAATTTCACAAGTACCCACTCTTTTCTTTATAGTTAAACAGTTGCTCATAACTCCTTTTAGTGCAAAGTAATAGAAAGCTTGTTATTAAAACGGTTTTTATGAATTTTTTCAGTACTTTAATGCATTTATTTTTAATCCATGACAAGTTAGGTGAAGTTCACCCTCAAAAACAAGATATTTTTAAAAATTTATTTTAGTAGATGTTAGGTTAAAATATCAGATTCTGATTTTTTAAATTTTCTTAATGGTGTGTGGTTCTCTGTATACCTCAGTCTCTCAAACTTGTATCTTATTCTAAACATTCTATGATCAGTTCACCTCAGCTTGGCTTTGTTTGCACAGGTTTATCCCTTGGCTCTGAAAGCAAAGACAAGACGTGAAGAAGATCACAAAAAGCACAAGCAGAGATTGGTGAGCGCTCGCAGTGCTGAGAGTCTGCTGGACAAGTTGAGCGCTCGCAGTGCATGTGACAAGGGGGACTGGGAGTCTGAGTACAGGCAACAGTTCCATGGGTATGAACCTAAAGAGTATCAACGAGCAGTTTCTTCCCGGGCTGTGATACCACGAGCCACTCCCATACATGCTGTACATCGAGGTGGTTGCCTTGTGATTAATGTTGACTGAAGGAATCTTGTTTCATACCCACACAAAAAAAATTGTACTTAAAACTTATGCCTCATTCTACTTGAAAATATTCAAGCACAACTCTTATTTATTTTGGACCTGTACTTAAAAACTTTTCCTAATTTCTTGAAAATTTAAATATATTTTTTTGTCTGATTTCTATGGTAAAAAAATGTCAATTCCTGTCAAAATAAGGTGTCATTTTGAAATTTTATTTTTTTAGAATGTAGATATACTTATTTATAAGTTACTTTCTATGGTAGTCATTCATTTTACACATTGTTAAATGTTTATTAATTAAAAATGTTTACAGACCCTATAGCAGATGAGATTTTTGTGTTAAACTATGCAATACCTGTTGGCCAGTCATGACAGCTCAATATCTTACCATAGCTTGTAATACAAGATTGACAGAGTTCTATCAGTCACAGGCTAGGTAAATGTAACTTACTTAAAGCGGAAGGTAAACCAGCTTATGCCTGGCACATGTCCCTTAATGTTGAAGCTTATCTATCTTTGGATGTCTTTACCACAAAATCTGGCAACCCACTCAAAAACATTTCAAACATTTTCCACATCTTTACCAAACAGAAAAACACAGGGTATAAAATGTAATGATATTTTTTATTTATTGACACAATGAAACTGTAGAAATAGATTAACTTAAAGAGAGCTATTACAAATGAGTTGACAAATATGTTTGTCATTCTCTTAAAAATGGCTTTCTTTGGAAAAAAAATCTTGCCAATTTATTCTTTTGAAAGTAACTATGCATAAACAAATGAACTATAGAATTCAAACTAGAAATACAAGTCAAGGACTGATAAAAACAATTTGCCAGTGAAGAAAAAAATATCTTTGAATACTTCAATAATAAATGATTGCTAAAAACTGTGGTCTGTGTAGATTTACATTTTGCTATTTGAAATAGATTGCCCGAGCTGCAACTATTGTGGCCATTACTTGGCACCTGCACAAAGTTTTTAAAACAATTTGCTGTTACAAGAAGGTGAATCAAAGTTCCAGCACTCTTGTCACAATTACCTGTAGCAACAACTATTTTTCTTAGATGCAACAAGCAAGAGAATTAAAATATCTGACCACTTGCAAATGATGTCACACATCTGTCATTCATGACAACCAACAAAGTTGGGATTATGTTAGCCTAAATAAACAACAGACGTGAATCTAACGCAGCTCCTCTAAAGGCACACAGAGCCACAGATCTGAATGAAATCTAACCAGATGTTCTCAGCACACTAGTCAAAAATGGAATGTTAAGTGCACCACCAGGCACCAAGCCCAGGTAGGAACACACATGTAAACAGAGCTGACCTTCATGGCCCAGCCATGTCCTGGAGATACAAGCGCCTCATTACAACCACACTAAAACAGCTGGACAGTTCTAAGTCCGCTTATCTAGACATAGTTACACTTTATACAATTTTAAAATCAAGAAAAATACCAGTCATAACTGCTTCAGATCTGAATGGGAGTTTGTGGGGTTATAGTGAGAAAATACTTTCTCCTCATTTTTTTCATGGACACATCAGTTCTGGCTCCAGGACCATTCAATAGAACAGTGGCCAGAGCTTGGTGAGATTCCCAGCAGCTAACAACATGATATGCAGGTGTAACAGAAGGAAGGTCAACCAATCACAGTGACAAACATATCACCTGTCCACGCCAGACAGTTTGTAAATAAAGCTCATCAAACAAGGACATACAACAACTAAATAAATATATGCTTCCTCTATGTGGGTACATTTTGATTCTGGGTCAGCAATTCATACAAAAATAAATGGTGGACCTTGAACAACGAACCAGTAACAAATAAATCAGTAGAAACTGACCAGTCAAAAATAACCTCTACCAACTGACCAGTCAGAAATAGACCTCTACCAACTGACCAGTCACAAATAGACCTCTACCAACTGACCAGTCACAAATAGACTTCTACCAACTGACCAGTCACAAATAGACCTCTACCATAGTACCAACTGACCAGTCACAAATATACCTATAGCAACTGACCAGTCACAAATAGACCTCTACCATAGTACCAACTGACCAGTCACAAATAGACCTCTACCATAGTACCAACTGACCAGTCACAAATAGACTCTACCATAGTACCAACTGACCAGTCACAAATAGACCTATAGCAACTGATCAACCAGACCTCGACCAACTAACCAGTCACCGAGACCTATTTGCTGGACATATTACTGTCACAGTTGTTGTCTAATCCTGCTGCACATCTTAAAATATCAAATATTTACAAGTAAAATAATCTCAAACAGAACAAGTGATTCACTCCTTTCTACTTGGTCCATCATTATGTACATTAGAACAGAGTTCTTATAAATAACATGTATGCATATCAGCACATTTTCTAAGAAGCTCAAAAAATAAAATACATTCCTCCCCCCATACAAATAGCTCTAGCATTTATGTACAATCTAGTGCCACCCCTGCTGTACAAAAGTCTAGTGTTGACCCCCCCCCCCCCCCCCCAAATGTAATTAGATACAGGCAGTTAATAGCAAACAACATTCTCCATAACTGCCTAGATGCTCCCCCACAATCAGTACGTTCCTAGATACTCACCCCCCTCCCTCCCTAGAATTCCCACAAGGCTAGATGCTCCTCCCACCACAATCCTAAAGTCCTGATTCCCCCCCCCCCCCCCCCCCCCAACAGGCCTAGATGCTCCCCCCACCTCCTGCACTCAGCAAGCGCAGTCTGGCCCAGATGAGCGTGGCTGCAGCTTCTCTTGTCTGTGCATCCTCCTCAGGGCGTCCCCGTACTGGATACCAGAACCCATACGTTCAGGGTCCAGCTCACCTGGCAAAAAATGGCCCGTATTTATTTAAAATACTAAACTTTAAACAGAACTTTAAAAAGATTCTCTGATATCAAACAGAACTTTAAAAAAAATGTTCTAATCAGACCTTAAAATTAAGATTCTCTGATATTAAACAAAAGATTTTTTTTTTAATTTTGACCAATTTAATGTACTTGTTGCTACCGTTTTTTTTTATTAAAGCAACAGTTATTTTTTAATTCCCATCTTTAGAAAATGAACGTCACCTGATTCTATTTTTGTCAGAATGGACCGTGCACACTTTAGGAATGTTTCCTCCACATTTTCTCCAGTCAGTGCACTTGTCTCCAAGAACATAAGTTCTACAAAATAGAAGCGTATATTTAAATAAATATTTTCTTTTCTCCAAAACATAAGTTCTACAAAATAGAAACATGTAATTAAATCAATCTTTTCCTGCCCTTAACACTAGTTACTGATCAAAATTGGTCTCTCATACAGTCTCATGCACCTGACTGATATAATGTGATAGAATGATAGAGCTTTTGGCCGCTAGCCCGGGGGTTTTGAGTTTGGATCTTGGTTCAGATTGGTGACTGTAGGACGTTACTGAGTCCACCCAGCTCTGATTGGGTACCTGACTTAAGGTGGGGAAAGTAAAGGCAGCTGGGCATAGAGCTGAATACACCATCCCTTCATATGCCAAGGTGAAGAAAAACTTTACTTCATCTACCCAATGGATCAGAAAGTTCAAAAATGGATTCTTTATTCAGCCTCACATACCTGAATGACAAAATTTGACTTAACACATTTAGATTGGTTTGTATAAAAAGAATAACAAATAGCTTAAATTTCTTTTCACAAAAAAAGCTCTACAACAGATTGAATATGCAACAAGTTATACATGAATGTTGTTTTTCCCATTATTATTGTAAAAATCACAAGTTTTGTACCACTGCTAAAGGGGAAGGATCCCAGAAATTATAAAAGTACTATAAGGGAGGGTGCTGCCATCCAAATACTTGATAATAATTTTAAAAAATTTAATAACATCCATACATATTAATTTTTTTTTAAATTAGATCTATATGAAATGGTTAAGTTTATTATGAATGACATTAAATAGCTTAATAATTTACAAACATAATAAAATTATTTCAATAAAATGTTTCATTAAAAGAACATGTAACCCAGTCACTGGAATGTTACAAAAGAAATCTGATTCAACAGCAGAGGCATTTCAATAACTTTTCAGTTCACTACTTTTAATTCCCAAAATTAAAACAAAAAATTATTTTTTTAAAAATAAAGAAAAATTAACTCTTACGACAAGAAAACTTAAATAAAATTTATGATTTCCTGTTACTTTGCAGGTATCTTCAAAATTGTGTGACCTGCAAGAGTTCTGTTACTATGCATAGATAATGTACTAAAGATGGGTGCATCAAACTGTACCACAAAAGTTGTCCCAGGTGATAGCAGGTGTATAGGAGTGTTAAGGGTTCAGAATCAATCAAATACAAATCTATTTAAAATGTATTCAAGTCGACTACCATTCTCTTGAGCAAATCTGCTGGCTTCCATAAAAGTGACTTCTCTCTCAGCTTCCAGATCTTTTTTGTTGCCCACCAGCACAATCACAATGTTAGGGCTTGCTAGTGTCCGGGCATCTGTCAGCCAGTTGGTCAATGCATTGTAGGTCTCGCGACTGACAAGTTCAAACATTGATAAGTTAAAACACTGACAAGTTAAAACATTGACTAGTTAAAACATTGACTAAATAAAATGTGGGCAAGTGAAAGGAAGCATCCACAAGTGTGGACCATGAGAAATGTGAAAATGTTACAAAAGGTTACTACCTTGTGATGTCATACACTAAAAGAGCACCAGCAGCCCCTCTGTAATAACTTCTGGTTACAGACCTAAAGAGAAATGACATTTTTTTTTACCAAAACATTCACTAAATGATGACTATTCATATCATTAGTCAGAAGACCTTCAATGATGACTAACCACTTTACTAGTCAGAAGACCTTCAATGATGACTAACCACTTTACTAGTCAGAAGACCTTCAATGATGACTACTCATATCACTACCCAGATGACCTTTAAGCTGACCAGATAAGAATGATGAATAACCTCCTCACCTAAATCTCTCTTGCCCAGCTAGAAGACCTTCAATGATGACAACTTAACAACCACCAGAAGACAATGATGAATAACCTCCTCACCTAAATCTCTCTTGCCCAGCTAGAACACCTTCAATGATGACAACTTAACAACCACCAGAAGACAATGATGAATAACCTCCTCACCTAAATCTCTCTTGCCCAGCTAGAAGACCTTCAATGATGACAACTTAACAACCACCAGAAGACAATGATGAATAACCTCCTCACCTAAATCTCTCTTGCCCAGCTGTGTCCCAAATCTGCAGCTTGACAGCTTTGCCACCAACATTGACAACTTTGCTACCAAACTCCACGCCTATAGTGTGGTTTGAGTCTTGTTTGACTAGTACCAAAAAAAAATAGTGTCAATATTTTTTCATTTATCCAAGTTTGCCATTAAATTGAATTAATAGTAATATATTCCTTACCAAGCACCAAATGTAATGTGACTTACATTTGTTTTCTATGAACTGATGTAGGATACATGACTTTCCAGCACCAGCACTGCCAATCACAAGAAACTTGAAGAGAAATTCTGTTCAATATGAGAGGGAAACAAAACTGTTCATTAAATTTACAAAACCTAGTATTGGACAAGTAATAAGGAAGTAAAAATATTCTAACTGTTATGTATTGTTACAAAAGGAAGGGGAGAAAACCAAATATTAAACAAAATGATTCATTTATTTAAAAAATCAACCCAACAGTGAGAATATCAATGTTACAATATTCAACTCAATTAGTCAATAACAGTTATATTTTATTTGAGTTTATAGACAGGCCAATATTAATACATTTTGAAACAGTGCCTATAGTATAACAGTGTGGACGATAGAACCAGCTGATACGGCCAAGGTTGATGACAATTCAAATAAAACAGTGAAACAGTATGATATAGTAATAAAGTTCAGAAGAGTGAGATAACAAGTATCAGTATCATAATAATTCTGTATCGTGGAACTTTGACATTATGACACCACCTATACAGTTGGGCGTTGATCTAGTATATATGAGGTGCTGTGATAAACATACTTTTTATTTTTATATTGTGGCCTAGTAGTTGTGGTGGTAAGTTGTGTAATCTCTAGAGATAAATCTAGATCTAGAAAGTAGAAATTTAGAAAGGATCTAGATCTAGCATTAATGGGTGATGGGAAATTGCGAGACATGAAAAGCAAAATGGTGAGGCGGTAAACTGCAAGTAGAAAATGCTTTTCGTGTCATGCAATTTCCCAACACCCAGACCCAGCATTAATTCTAGTTCTAGATTTTCAACTAGATCTAGACAACTAGGCTAACTAAGTAATAACTTAACTATAGGCCTAAAACACGGGTCTCCAAACTACAGCCCACGGGCCGGATGCGGCCCGCGAGGTCATTTTATCCGGCCCGCAATGATCTTTTTGTCCACTGAATCTTCTTCTTTTCTTCTTCTTCGTTCTTAATTATTAGTGTTGAAGGGGATCGAGATTTATCTGCCAGTGGGTTTGAACTCGAGACTTTGTTCAAATTTATCAACCATGAGCTTTTTGCCGACTCGACCACGCCTCCAACACAATTAAGCGTTACGTGTCAACTGGTTATGCGCCATTGAGGCCATTGACTCCGATTTCAGCCTGCTTTTCTTTTTGGATTTGCTTCCATAGCCTTTGTCCAACCAAGAACAAACTACAAGGCAGCAGTTGTTTAATTTTGGAGTTGTCTCTCCTAGAAGAGTGGCTGTCCCCAGCTAACGAGCCTCATCTGCCCGAGGGTTCGAACTCGAGACTTTTCGGTTTAGCAACCATGAGCTTTACCGACTCGACCACGCCGACCCCCGTCCACTGAATAAATGTTTGTTGGAGGTGGTTGAGGAGCTTTGCACAGAAAATTCAAAACTTTTTGAAAATGTAGCTTTGTGTGCAAATACAATTACTCGCCGTGTTGCAGACATTGGTGAAAACATAGTGACTCTAATAGCGAAAAATTCAAGGAAGTTCAGCCATTTTTCAATTGCAATGGATGAGCCACTGGACAACTGTTCCACCTCTCAACTTCGTGTGTTCATTAGAGGTGTGGGTGAAGACCTGAACATAACACAAGAGCTGGCTTCCCTACATATAATGTATGACAATGTTACCGGAGAGGATATCTAACCATAGATAGTTCAGAGACAAACACAAAAACGCAAGATTTACCATATTTCACATCAGTAAGATTGCTAATTTTGCAAGAAAATTCTCAGCAGAGTATCTAAGAAAAGAAATAGCTGACTTCCTGATAGTAAAGGCAAGTCACAGCCATTTTTGTCTGATGAAGAGTGAGTATAGAAATTGGCCTCTGCTGCAAACATAACTAGTCATTTAAATTTTCTGAACAAAAAATGGCAACCTAGTGAAATCTAGTTTCTGATCTATACACCTACATAAAGGCTTTTAGATACAAACTTGTCATGTTACTGGAACAAGTACAGGCTAACAACTTTCAGCAGTGCAAGGTCTTTACGGCTGAAACAACCACTGAGTTCCCCACGTCATTTACATACGAGATCATTTAAGACCTCCAGCTGCAGTTTCAGTAGCGGTTTTCTGACTTGGATTCATAGGCAGAAGAAGTGAGACTGTTTCAAAGTCCATTGATTTTGAAGCAAATATGGCCAGTTGCAAAGATGAACTGCAGCTGGAGGTCATTGAATTGCAAGAAAATGACTTCCTTAGAGACACGTTCAAAGAAGGGCAGATGGGTTTTCATACGTTTTTGCACAAGGAAGACTTTCCTAACATTAAAAATTTTGCATCAAAGTACCTTTCAAATTTTTGAACAACATACCTGTGTGAACAAAGATTTTCAAGAATGAAATACGTGAACAACAATTTGAGAGCAAACGTGGACCTCGGTGGGAGGGGGGGGGGAGAGTGGACACTTGAAATTTGTATATATTTCGTTGGGGGGAGGGGGGTAGACGTTCTTCAGGGGGGGGGGGGCGCCACGACCCTGAAGAGAGATGCCTTAAAAAAACTCTGCTGCCCCCCCCCCCCCCCCCCCCCAACTGATATTAGATAGTTATTGCTTGGGCTGAAAAGTTTGGAGACCCTTGCCTAAAACAAAAAATGATAATATTGATATATTTTTGTAGATTTTCTCACTAGATCTAGATCTAAATCCAACATTTAATTTAGGCCTACTATTTCTATTTACTATTAGAATCTATTTAGATCTAGATTCTAGATCTAGCTAGCTCAGTAGCTAGTTTTAGTAATTTACTCAATGGGCTCAATGGGCAATGCCAGTCAATGCCTACCATACGATTCAGACATTATAGACCAATGCCGGTGTCAAAATCCCACTCAGTAATTGGAAGTGGAATTCAGCGAGATTTTCAACAACCTTGTTATTATTTTATAGACTGTAAACAGTGGTCTACTAAATCTAGGCTTATTCAGCTATGGAAATAGTTTATTCTTGTTTATTTTAAGCATTTCCTCTTCCAGTCTGTCAGCTGTCGTGAAATTCTCGTCACTGCGATAAATTGTACGAGATTAGACTGAATTTCGATATTTTCAACTGCTTAGAACTGCTTAATTATGCCAGTAGCGCCAGATCCCAAATAATTATGATTCAGTAGTAAAATGTTCGTTCGACAAGATTGATCTAGACTAGATTCTATTTTGCTTGAAAACTTAAACTATTTTTTAACTAGATCTACATTTTTTACTACATTAACTCTACATAGGCCTTCTACATTAGGCCTAAACATTTATTATTTATTTAATATTTAATTTAGGCCTATTAATTATTTAGAGTTTTTTAGGCCTAGAGTTTAGGTAGGCATTCCATTAAAAAAATTAAAATTGGCTAATGAAATGTATGAGCATTGCAAAAATATTGTGCTTGATGTAACTAGAATAACACTGAAAAAATTTTCTTTCTAGCTTCAGTAGTTTTTTTTTTATGAATTTTTTACGTAATGGGTGAATGTCCACTAGAGGAGTTTACACTTTGCGGACACACTAAAAAATTACGTAGGAGCGAACACTTCGTCGGTTTTTGGCTCATAGAAACTTTAATTAGCATGTCTCACGCGAAACCACGGCGCCTGCACGTAAACTGTTCATTTATGAACACTTCCGTGTCAAGTACTTCCGTTTCCTCTCTCAAGAATTATTTTTAGAAATTTTTTTTAACGTTGCATGGTACGCACATTTCTATTTTTACACCAGCCGGATGAAGTGACCTAGGGTTGGACTTAGGGGCAAAACTTGAACCAATCAACGCTTAGCTAAAAGGTTACACTATAAATAGCTTCTATATATGTATGGAACATCGTAAATGTCAAGGTTAATGGGTTTTTTTGTGCTTGAACAATAAAAAAGGGGTGTTCGCTAACTTATTTGGCTTTACATGGGAGCGGACAGCAACACAAAAATATTATTAAATATGAATTTAGAGCATAAAAGGGGCTGGTTATTGAAGGGAAAGGGTCAAAATAAGATCAAGAAGGCAGTGGAATGCGAAATGACGATGACGGGTAAACGTGTCCGAACACATGTAAAACTGTATTACATGTGTTCGAACACACGTTAAGGCCCCCCAGTCACTATAACAAGAATAGCTAAAGTTCTATGCGTATGAATACAAAATGACACACACATTATCAAAGTAGAATGGTTGCGGATAGATATGATACTTTTTTTTGTTTTCTATGTTAAGCAGTTACTGAATGAGACCGCATGGAATTTTTACGTTGCGTTTTTTCGCTATGTGTGTCCGCAAAGTGTAAGTTCCTCTATATTTCTTTGTAAGTCATGAAAATCACTGTCCCCTAACTTTGAAATAGCACTGCTCAGTTATTTTTAAAACTACAATGTTTAAACTTAGCAGGATCTTACTTCAGCATGTTTGAATTACATATATTAATTGAAATCATTAAGTCATTCACTGGGAGCAGAATAATTAGCATTCCTTTAAGGGATACATTACGGCTATTATGGGCCCTAATTTCTAAGTTGCACTGCTCAGTTGTTTTTAAAACTACAATGTTTAAACTTTGCAGGATCTTACTTCAGCATGTTTGAATTACATATATTAATTGAAATCATTAAGTCATTCACTGGGAGCAGAATAATTAGCATTCCTTTAAGGGATACATTTTGACTATTATGGGCCCTAATTTCTAAGTTGCACTGCTCAGTTGTTTTTAAAACTACAATGTTTAAACTTTGCAGGATCTTACTTCAGCATGTTTGAATTACATATATTAATTGAAATCATTAATTCATTCACTGGGAGCAGAATAATTAGCATTCCTTTAAGGGATACATTTTGACTATTATGGGCCCTAATTTCTAAGTTGCACTGCTCAGTTGTTTTTAAAGGTACAATGTTAAAACTCTGCATGATCTTACTTCAGCATGTTTGAATTACATTTATTAATTTAATTATTAATAGACTTGCCAGTAGCAGAACAAATTGAATAAAAAGGTAGTAGGCACTAATTTTTTTTTAATAAATTAAACCGAACAATTTATCTTAGGCACACTGGCAAGCCAGGAGTTTTATTTACTGAATGGTTGTCTTTAAAAACTATTATTATTAGCAACACAACAAGTAAAATAACTTAAATAACATTTCAGGAAGCCTACACCAAATTAATAACATTGCAAGTAAAAAAAAACAACTCATCTCTGACTATTATCTTATCAGGATAAATGTTTTATATTAAATGATTCTCAATAAATAATTAAATTTACACAATTAAACAAAAAGCAAAGTTAATATATACATCAAAACAATAAACTTTTAAGGTAGACATAGCTTACATCAATACAATAACAGGTGAGACTTATACCAAGTTAAGCTTTGTACATCATGGACTACTACTGTCATCCTAGCTACTAAACACAAGGTCACCTGTCAGTAAATCTGTGACTAGAGATGTCATTGTCATGTCATAGTCAACACTGTCAGTTTCCAATTCATCAGGTCCCCAGTAAGTAATTGTACATTTCATTGTCTTAGTCTTCTGTTGCTTAAAATTTACCACTCTGCCAGAATACATTTTATCAACTCCTTCCTCTGTCCATAAATGCTTAAGTAGATGTCCTGTATAGGTTTCAGTCAGTTCAGACATAGGATTTTCTGAAGTAATATACATTGCAATGAGGCCCATAACTTCAGATGACGCAGATGAAAACACACTAGCATTCAGATCTTTAGCACTCAAAGCCATAGCAACCTCTTTTTCTAGAGCCTTACGGTTGGATTGTTCATGTTTCTGACCAGCTTCTAGCATTCGACGCATCATCACTGCTTCCATCATCTTCTTCCTTTGCGCTGCAAGTTCCCTTGCTCTGTACCCCTCTTTCATTGCAAAATAAACTAATCTATGTTGGGTCATTTTGTCCTGTTGCAGAAGCCATCCTACAGTATCATTTGTCCGTCCTCTCACCTTTCCGTCTACAAAACCAGCTGTCGCATTAGGGGCCCGACGCCATAAATAGTCAGTCATTCCTAATATTCTCTCAGCTGCCATGTTGTGTGAAGGAGCAGTTGAAGCTTGTGTCAACTGCTCAACTGTAGGGCTAGAAAGGTCGCCACTGGTATATCGAACAAACTGGCGGTCAAAGACCTTAACAATTTCATGTAATATTTGCTTCAAAGTTTGCTTTACTTTATCCCTGTGGGATTCAATATTGTTGATGATTGCTGTCAGCACCATGTCTGAAGCTGCATCAATGGGTTCATTAAAAACATTCACAGTGGGACATAGCAACTCTTCTGGCTCAGCAGCAAACCTGTCCAAAACATTTTTAGAGCTTTGTATCACAGGGACCATGTCTAAATTCATTGAATTTGCATAGAATTTAGTCATCCATGGCCCTGTGACTGTTTTCCCGATTAACCCGAGTGCAATTAATTGAGCAACAACCCTAGGGTCATCCAGCTCTTCCTTAATGCTTTTTTTAAGGTTGGTGCCTCCTAATTCAACAAATTTCTTCAGCTCTTTCAGATATAAAATTATAATTCCAGCTGAATGGAATAAAATGTGCAACCGGTTACCGACGTACCGAAGGAAAACTCCCACTGGAATATTTTTTTCTCTAAAATAGGTCTTGAACCCGCTAGGGTCTCCACTGGATTGCTTGTATCTGAGCTTGGAAATACTCAAAATACAGTGCAATGTCTTGTTGCCTATCTCAGTATCATTTTCCAATGCTCTTCTGGCACCAGCAGCAAAACTATCTAGCGGATGAACATTGCAATTCAATTCCAGCAGGTGTGTCTGTAACAAAGTATTCAGCTGGTTTACAACACTATGATTCACAGCTGCCCTATCTGTCACAGTGGATTTAATGGTGGATATAAGAGTTTTGTACAGCTGCTCTAAATTTGGATGATTAATGTATTTACAATATATGTTTACAATATCTTTTAACTTAACACTAATATGTTCTATGTAATCTACAGCTTTACCACCAGGTAAAGATTTTACATCAACAGCAAGAGTTTTACCTGCAGCAGAAATATGGATTTCATTTACATGACTACCATCAATGGTGGTTGCATCCCATGACAGTGTAGCACCATCAAGGAATGCAAGTGCCTCGCCAACCTGCAGATCAGCTAAAATGCCTATTTCATAAGCCATTTGAGCCACTGTAGATTTGCGAGGCACGCAGTCAAGTTTCATTCCAGCTTCCTGCTCCAGGAAAAACTGCAATAGCTGTCCAGCAGCTAACACAGAAACATTTTTCAACAAAGATTGGTACATACAAATTCTCATAGAAGTACCATAATGCTTTCCTTCTTTGGTTACAATAGTTTGTCCCTCTTCTTGGGGTTCTTGCATGTTGATGGCATTATCATACATTAATTCTAAATCATTGACCATTGATTTTAAATTTTTGATGGTTTTGTTTTTTATCTTGACCATATTTTCTAGTGCTTCAATTTTTCTTTCTCTTCTTGATAATTTTTTCTTTAAACTGGCAAGTTGATTCAGTTTCATTTTGTATTGGATGGAATCTGCAAACGGATTGCAGTTAAGTTTTTTTTTAATCTCTACTTTCTCTGCTTCCAACTGTCTATTCTTTTTCTCTTGTTTGAGGAGTCTGTCAGTGAGTCGTTTAATTTTTTTATTTAGATCTTTAATTTGAAAAACTTTATTTGATTGAAGTTCATTTTGATAGAATTTTAAACTAGTTTTCAATTTTTTATTTGATTTCAATAACTGTTCTGTAGACTTTCTTTTGTATGCACAACTTACACAGTCTTGTTTAAGTTTTAAAGGTGAGGCTTGTTTTGGGGGGATTAGTGTTGTTATTAATTCAGGTGCTAACTTAGAGACAATCCCCTTTTCTTTAGGTACAGGCTCTTGAAATGGCATTTCCATAAAATTTATAATTTTATCCCATTGTGCTTGTGGCTTAAGAGATCTAAATTTAACACATAATCTGTTGATTTTATTATAAAGTTGATGACTGTTACTTGACGCTGGTATTATTTCTTCCAAAACTTGCACTGCCTTTTTAATTTGTTTTTTATTTTCATACCATACATGAATTATATGGCCTTGCTTTATGCCAGCTGCTGTCCGAAAGTCAGAATACTGATTAATCAGAATTGGTAAATCTTTGGCAGAATGCTTATCAGGGCTCCCAGAGCCTGTAGATTTACCACCTGCTGAAGTATTCATTTCCTCATCCATACTCTTGATCATATATCTAGAGGAAAAGAAATCAACATTAATACTACTGTAAAAGTAGAATTTATTGTTTTAATAGAGCCAAGTGTGTAGCATAATAAAGTAAGGGATAAGGAAATATATGCTTAAAATAATTTCTTTTCTTGAGTGGTAATTTATTATTGGTTATTAGCTTGATGTGCAAAAAAAAAAACCCACTGGCTTTCTTCAACAGCCTTTAACATATTTATACATCTTTTATTTTTAAAAGGCAATCATTCATTTGCAATAAACTCTACGATTAAGGAACAAGTGAACATTTATAAAGGCGACGCCGGCCCCCACGCCCCTATAGGCTTTCCGGTCTCGCCATATTTTTTTATTATAAAATGGCGTTATTGTGGTGAATCAAACACCCTTTTTTCGGTCAAAATACCACTAGAAAACGTACCTCAAATTATATGAAATCATTATTAACTTATAATATACATAATGTAATTTTTGAGAATACAAAGAGATAGCTTGATAAACTCACCTTTCTATCAAAAGTTGTCGTTGAAACACGCACAAAATTAGACCACGTTTCGCAATATTATAACTTGGAGAAGGAAGAGAGAAAAGTAATGCAGTTAGCAGTTTAAAATCACACATTATTTCATTAAATTGGTGAAAAGTTGGCCCGACGACGAAATTGAATCGATTACTTTAAAATCCCTATATTTTCTCACTATGTATTTCAATAAGGAAGATAATCGACGAAATTTTACAATAGCGAAATTCCCCGGTTGCCGTTCTTAAAGCAAGATGGCGGCGATGCCGACATCGCTAAGTTTAGGTATTTTATTTTTTAGAGTCTACCTACATCTGTCATCTACAAGTAAAGTGCCAGCCTTAAAAATAATATTAAATATTAGGCAGGCTAGGGAAAAATCCATTTTAGCTTATTTTATTCGCCGCTTCATGTTCACCTCCGGTTGAACGTATTTTATTATAAACACAACCGAAACACACAAAAACATCAGGAAAACAGGGTGTGGGGAAATTGCGAGACGCGAAAAGCGAAATGGCGAGGCGGGAAAATGCGAGAAGGTAATGCGAGACATACCTGCGGAATTAAGGGTAAATAGCGAGACACTTTTTGCGAAAAAAGTTTTTTTCCTTTTTTTTTCCATCTTTATTTATTTAAATTATTTTTTTTTTGTTTTAAAATAAACAAGCATTTAGCCATACCCTTTAACACGAGTGTTGTATGTTGTTATTTTTTATCTAGATACTAAGAAGATAGATAGATCTATATCTAGATCTATCTATTTAAAAATCCTAACATCGTTGCTGTGCTACTGTCATCGCCCGTTCTTGTTAGCGAGAGGAAAATCCCGTCTCAGTCGGCATTAATTTAAAAATCTAGCCCGCTCATGTTTATACAAACGTGAGCTGTGTCATTGTGAAATGGTATAATCTTGTCAGCTGGAGAGATATTTTGCAACATCTATTTATGGATTTTTGTACTTGCAAAAAGTGTAAAAGTATAAACAATTCTAAAAAGTGCAATTTATTTTTTTATTAAGTAATTTTAATTACAAACAAAATTTACAAGCAAAATCTTCTGAAACAGTCCTCAAACACACCTCGTGACACCATCTTTCACACATAGTACACCCAACCCAGTTCATTAGACTCCCATTTATACATTTTTCTTTTGCTACTTCTTCCAATCCACATTCACAACATTTCACATTCTCATCACAGTTGACCTCCTCGTTCATCCCACAAACAACACTGGCACCCATGTTCTCTTCATCATCATCCGCACGCTCAACATCTGTTTTCCGTTTTTTATAATTTGTATTTTTTATCATTTCTGTAATTTTGGCAATGTCTTGCTCATTGTTGTCACCAGCAGTTGAGTTTTTTTAAAACATCGATATTTTCCCAAAATCTTGTCTAATTTCGGTCAAAATAGAGTATTTTAATCAATTCCTATTACAATGTATTAAAACAGTTTTCTTAAACGCGAAAAAACTTCTAAAATTGTTTTTCTAACATTGCTTTTTTATAGTGTGACTTCACATCTAACCCCCCCCCCCCTCCTCCCCCTCATCACACATCGTCATAAAATTGCAGACCCCCCCCCCCCTACGAGTGTGACGTCATTTATGGAAGACCCCAAATAACACCACCACCAAAACCAAAAAATTCAGATAAGTTCAACTTGGTTTTAAAAATATTTGAAGTAGGCCCATAGCTTACGATATAGCACGAGCAACTGATAATATCGGTGACGTCACTTTATTTTGTTGTATCCAAATGATGTAGGCATTTCCTTGTGCTTAGATTTATATGGTAAAAAAAGCTAGAAAAAAATCGTAGGCGGCGGCTATAATACAAAATTTCTATGCAACAATAGAAAATATGTTTGCGGCGGCAGTGGATCCGGGCACGGCGATCCTCAAAGACGGTAAATCAGGCGGCCTCGGCGTTCCACACAAAAGACAGAAGTTGATCTATCGTCGGCGGTATTTCCGTCGGTTTCGAACAAGGTGGTATTCTAAGTCGACACAAAAGATGGGGGGAGTTGACAAATCATCAGTATGTCTAGCGACGGAAAAATCGGAAGTTTTAACAATGTAAACGAAACGTCTTTGAAGTCTGGACCAAATACCACTGAAAATCGGGTGCGGTAAATTTTTCGCAGAAATCTTCGCATTTCAACACCACCCAGCGTAAGTATCGGCTTGTGGTAAAATGCGAGACAAAAAAGTCACGTGACCAACCGTTTTCGCGCCCTTCTCGCATTTTCCCGCCTCGCCATTTCGCTTTTCGCGTCTCGCAATTTCCCCACACCCAGGAAAACACTAGGATTAGTTAGAGCTAGATCTTTTTATATATATATATGAATGTGAGTTTTAATTAGAAAAGTTAAAAAAAAAAAACATAAAAAAGCATTAGGACATTAAGACAGTTCCAATTAAACAGCGTGTGATCGTCAGCGGAGAAAAGTACCCATACAGTTGAGTTGAGTTGAGGGTTCACCCTGAGTTCACATTGACTTTAATCATTAGCAGACGTGGCATAAGTCATAGCTTGGGCAATAGCTCTTTGTCAGTTTGAAATGGTGTTGGCCTCAGTTTTGGGGTCATCGTGAGTTCATAAAAGTTTAATTATTATTATAGCATTCAATACTCCAAATTTGTATTTTCTCAAGTTTTGACAAAGTAAATTATCAAAACTAAGTCAAAACTTCATAAAGAAATAAGCCCAATGTTTTGTGTGTTTTGGTTATTATAATAAAATACGCTTAACTGGAGGTAAACAAGAAGCGGAGAATAACATATGCTAAAATGGAGTTTTACCTAGTATAATAATATAATTAGGCTGTAATCTATCGTTTTAGGTGCGTAAAATAGGCAGAGGCTAGTAATGTGCGAAAAAGTTGCCTCATTATTAAGGCTTTAATTATAGAAGTATATTGTGTCAAATATTATTGATAACTGAATAATAAACAAAATCAATGGCTAAATCTATCAATATAGCCCAGAAATTAACTTTAAATAGCCCAGAAATTAACTTAAAACAGCAGTGTTTGCTAGCAAGATTTGCTAAAAATATTACTATATAAACAGTGTCCTTCTGTAAGTTAGAGTGGTTTCCCCTGGATCTCTAACAATAATTTTATAAAAAAAAAATTAAACAAGATGGCTGCTAAAGTAAATGAACTTGGTTGCATCAGATGAAAACATCGCTAATCTTTATTACTGAAAAGTTTTAATATGATTGTTTAAAAACAGGTACATCAATGAAACTTTAAAATATTATTGTAACTCTCAAAACATAAATCCTCCTAAAAATGTAAAATAATTACTAAAATTTAATGAGTCACCTTTTTTTAACATTACTAGCCTCGGCTGATTTTATGTACCTAGAACTGACAATATCTAGGATTAGTGATTAGATCTAAAAAAATAATTCTAGATTCTAGAACAGTAATACTAGGTCTTAATTTAAAAATAATTTTTGTAGGTACCAAACCCCACAAGTTTCATCATATGTGATATACGTTTTCACTGAACCTCTCTTTAAACTTCTTAGTATTAACAATAGTTTTATTGTCTGCACTGAAAAATTTGATTGTGAATCATAAGTTGGGTATGTGTGACTTCCGCCACTGAACCCCTAGACCGAGTCACTAAACACCATGACGTAAACCTGTTAACGATGTAGAAAACTACATCCAGCTGTATTTATAACCGACTATTAATGAACATTGTTAGTATTATCTGCTCTTACGAGTATGCAATCTAAAGAATGACATAACTATAACCAAAAAATGAATTAAGTCAAAATTGATAGGCCTAATATAAATACAAAAAAGCATTGTGATTAAACAAACCAGGAAACAACACTTGCTTCTGTATGACATATGCTATTAACCATCATGCCTTTTTTCTAGTTTCACTTTTTCATGATTTTTGGGACTAACTTAAACATAGTTTACTTTGACAAAGGGTAAATAATTATAAAATACACATAGATGAAAAGGATAGATTAAAAAAATTACTATTGTGATATATATTTGTCTAAGAAATATTTTGATAATTTCTCATCAAGTTAACATTTAAAATATTCTTCCCCCAGATGTACCATCAGCAGAACCTGTTCTAGTCTCCAAGATGCGTTTTAAATGTCATGTGTCCACTTGCAACCGCCTCCTGCCATCTCTAAACTTGAAAAAGCCCAACAGATCTCAGTATACCCAAGTGTCTATTGGTGTTAAGCCTTCAGCCAGTCACCAGGATGGGCGCATCGTTCTCATGCTGTGCACAACACAAAATATGAACGGCACAAAATATTTGGTAATTATGTGTCCTTGACTTTGGTTAAGCTGGTTGATGACATGAAGGAAATATTCTCCACACTTGACTCATGCAGGTTGCTGTTTTATGAATTATACAACCTTTAGTTTAAGGAGGGCCTAAGCACAGGCATATTTAGACTTAAACTTGTTTAAAGTAAAAAAGCCAGTAATCTTTACATTTTTTTCAGCTGTACAGAAATGTGGAACAAATATTCTCCAAATTTCTGAATGAAGGAAAAGTGACATTGAGATTGTCGTCACCTTCTGAAGATATTTCATTCAGCAAAGTATTGTTTCCCTTTCTCTTGTTTATCAGTCTTAGTTACAAGATATAATCTATTTTTTTCTACTTAGTTTAAAAAAATGTTCCTTAACTTTCAAACTAAAATCAGTACAAACGCTAAGTAAACAATATGCTTAAAATGCAGGCAATATGTACTTAATCTGTTCCTTTGTACAACTTAAAAAATTAATCTGTTGTGAATTTCTAATGAGCTTCATTATACTGTGACACCCATGTTTTCTGGGAGTGCAGGCGGACCCCAACGACCTGAAGTTGTTTGTGCAGCTGGTGAGGCTGGCAGCGGAGGGGAAGGAGCTGCCTACAAAGGCCATGAGCACGTTAGCGCCAGCCACAGGCAAGCAGATAGAGAAACCTGTCACCAGTCTACACGTGGACAAACCCTCGCAGTACCCCATGGCATTCCCTAAATCTCTCAAACATTTGGCGGTAGATATATTTTTTACTGATCATAGTTTTGGTGTCAACATTGTAATGTTGTCCGTAGTAAGGCTTAATTGAAAGAATTTAATATGGTATATTTTTTGGCTAGGTATAGTAGATCATATAGCTTGGTATAGTAGATTATTTGGCTTGGTATAGTAGATCATTTGGCTTGGTATAGTAGATTATTTGGCATGGTAAACTGACCAAAGAATTAAATGAGATAGGACTATACCTAACAACCTGTAGCACCATAACATCCTGTAGGACCATAACATCCTGTAGGACCATAACATCCTATAGGACTATACTTAACATCCTGTACGACCATAACATCCTGTAGGACCATAACATCCTGTAAGACCACAACATCCTGTAAGACCATAACATCCTGTAAGACCATAACATCCTGTAAGACCATAACATCCTGTAAGACCATAACATCCTGTAAGACCATAACATCCTGTAGGACCATAACATCCTGTAGGACTCACCTGTTGTTTTCAGATCACCTGTTGCTCGCTGCGCCGCATCAGTGCCCAGGTGACAGCCCTGACCCACCTGGCCTGCCTGAACCTGAGCAGCAACCAGATCAGCCAGGTCCCCGAGGCCCTGGGTCAGCTGGTCAACCTTGACACCTGTGACCTGTCTGACAACAAACTGACCAGTTTCCCCCCTGTATTTTACACCTCTCAGCTGCGACACACGCTGGCCTCAGTCAACCTCAAGGCCAACACAATACAAACTCTACCTTCAGAGATAGCACAGGTCAGTTCACAACCCAACATCATTTGGTGAGTTCACACAGCAACATCATTTGGTCAGTTCACACTCCAACATCATTAGGTCAGTTCACATAGCAACATCATTAGGTCAGTTCACACTCCAACATCATTTGGTCAGTTCACACTCCAACATCATTTGGTCTGTTCACACTCCAACATCATTTGGTCAGTTCACACTCCAACATCATTTGGTCAGTTCACACAGCAACATCATTTGGTCAGTTCACACAGCAACATCATTAGGTCAGTTCACACCCCAACATCATTAGGTCAGTTCACACTCCAACATCATTTGGTCAGTTCACACAGCAACATCATTTGGTCAGTTCACACTCCAACATCATTAGGTCTGTTCACACAGCAACATCATTTGGTCAGTTCACACTCCAACATCATTTGGTCAGTTCACACAACATCATTTGGTCAGTTCACACCCCAACATCATTAGGTCAGTTCACACCCCAACATCATTAGGTCAGTTCACACTCCAACATCATTTGGTCAGTTCACACAGCAACATCATTTGGTCAGTTCACACAGCAACATCATTTGGTCAGTTCACACAACATCATTTGGTCAGTTCACACCCCATCATCATTTGGTCAGTTCACACTCCATCATTTGGTCAGTTCACACCCCAACATCATTTGGTCAGTTCACACTCCAACATCATTTGGTCAGTTCACACTCCAACATCATTTGGTCAGTTCACACTTCAACATCATTAGGTCAGTTCACACTCCAACATCATTTGGTCAGTTCACACAGCAACATCATTAGGTCAGTTCACACCCCAACATCATTTGGTCAGTTCACACAGCAACATCATTTGGTCAGTTCACACAACATCATTTGGTCAGTTCACACAACATCATTAGGTCAGTTCACACTCCAACATCATTAGGTCAGTTCACACCCCAACATCATTTGGTCAGTTCACACAGCAACATCATTTGGTCTGTTCACACTCCAACATCATTAGGTCAGTTCACACTCCAACATCATTTGGTCAGTTCACACTCCAACATCATTTGGTCAGTTCACACAGCAACATCATTTGGTCAGTTCACACAGCAACATCATTTGGTCAGTTCACACAGCAACATCATTTGGTCAGTTCACACTCCAACATCATTAGGTCAGTTCACACAGCAACATCATTAGGTCAGTTCACACCCCAACATCATTTGGTCAGTTCACACTCCAATATCATTAGGTCAGTTCACACCCCAACATCATTTGGTCAGTTCACACCCCAACATCATTTGGTCAGTTCACACAGCAACATCATTAGGTCAGTTCACACTCCAACATCATTTGGTCAGTTCACACTCCAACATCATTTGATAAGTACAACATCATTTGGTCAGTTCACACAGCAACATCATTAGGTCAGTTCACACTCCAACATCATTAGGTCAGTTCACACTCCAACATCATTAGGTCAGTTCACACAGCAACATCATTTGGTCAGTTCACACAGCAACATCATTTGGTCAGTTCACACTCCAACATCATTAGGTCAGTTCACACAGCAACATCATTAGGTCAGTTCACACCCCAACATCATTTGGTCAGTTCACACTCCAACATCATTTGGTCAGTTCACACAGCAACATCATTAGGTCAGTTCACACTCCAACATCATTTGGTCAGTTCACACTCCAACATCATTTGATAAGTACAACATCATTTGGTCAGTTCACACAGCAACATCATTAGGTCAGTTCACACTCCAACATCATTAGGTCAGTTCACACTCCAACATCATTTGGTCAGTTCACACAGCAACATCATTGGTCAGTTCACACTCCAACATCATTGGTCAGTTCACACAGCAACATCATTTGGTCAGTTCACACCCCAACATCATTTGGTCAGTTCACACCCCAACATCATTTGGTCAGTTCACACAGCAACATCATTTGGTCAGTTCACACCCCAACATCATTTGGTCAGTTCACACCCCAACATCATTTGGTCAGTTCACACCCCAACATCATTTGGTCAGTTCACATAGCAACATCATTAGGTCAGTTCACACTCCACCATCTTTTGTGTTTTTACAACTTTTAGATTTTAAAAAACCTTTCTTAAAAACCTTATATCTATACATTTAGCATTTGGTTTTTTTTTTTAAACTTTGTACTTCCTTAAAAACATAACTTTTAATGTACGGTCTTAAAAATGCGTTAATTGAAATTATGTGAATTTCTGAAGGAGGGGGGAGGTTGAGAAAAGTCTTGCCTGTAGTTTGTATCTGAGGTATCAAAACATGTCTGTAAACTCTGTAAGATGATTCTTTAGCCACCTAAGTTAAAATTACTTACATTTAGACATCTATATAAATCAAAGCTAGACTTGCCGTTAAAATATTGCCCTTTATTGCATGTTACAAACTCAAGACTTCTGTGTTAGCACTTGTAAGCTCTACCACTCTACCACACAGTCCCTACTTAGAGATGTGCACTTGTAGGTATTTAATTTGGTACTTGTCTCCCCTGGGCCAGCTGGTGAAGCTCCACACCTTGAATGTCAGCCACAACCAGCTGAAGAGAGTCCCTGAGAGCGTGGCCCGCATGAAGACACTGCGCCACCTCTTCCTGTCAGACAACATGCTGGACTTCCTGCCTGGCTCCCTGCTCACCCGCACCCTGGAGACTGCTGACTTCAGCAATAACAGCTTCCTACATGGCTTCAAGGGAGGGGAGGCAACTTGTTTTCCTGTTCCTTCTTTAGCAGAATCAGCAGCAAGAGTTATTGTTCATTCCAGGTATCATTTAAATTGTATTTATTGGCATCTAATTGTAATAGACATTGTTTAAACCAACAGAAACCCTGATGTCATTTTTTCCCTGCCAGAGTGCCTTACAGTGAGCTGGACCTGGATGTGTTTTCTATCCGCTACATTTCCCAAGGTCATGTCTGCTTGTGTGGGCGGCCATGTTTTGAGTCCAGCGTGTCACAGATCCAGAAGAGAAGACAACCCTGTACCCTGAGCTACAGTGGTGAGGAGTTCCCTTATCTTGTTTATTTCTGCTCTAGGAGGTGTCTGCTGAGGTTCCACACTGTCCAGCCTTGACCTCCTGACCTTTGCTTGTGAGGACACCTAGTGTCTGCTGAGGTTCCACACTGTCCAGCCTTGACCTCCTGACCTTTGCTTGTGAGGACACCTAGTGTCTGCTGAGGTTCCACACTGTCCAGCCTTGACCTCCTGACCTTTGCTTGTGAGGACACCTAGTGTCTGCTGAGGTTCCACACTGTCCAGCCTTGACCTCCTGACCTTTGCTTGTAAGGACACACACTGGAGCTATACAAGGGGCTGTGAGAGAGCTCAATGGCCAACAGGTTGTCAAATGTGTGGGAGACCTCAGCCAAATGTGTGGGGACCTCAGTCAAATTGTGTGGGGACCTCAGTCAAATGTGTGGGAGACCTCTCTAGGACAGTACAAAGTGTTAACTTGAGCCAAATTTTGCCTGGACATACAGTGTACATTTGTATCTTAACTGTCTCAAGTAGAATAAGTTAATTCATGCTTCACAGCATGGGAACTAGGATGGGGGGGGGGGGAGCAGACATAAAGTCTGCACACCCTTGACTAACACCAGACAGTATAAAGGAGAGATTGATGTAGCCTGATCATTTTCTGTATGACTGACTGAGTGATGTAGCCCAAATATGCTCTGTATGACTGACTGATTGAAATTGTCAGACCATACTGTAGAACGAGACATTTGGACTCAGGGGTCTAACAAAATCCATATATTGTTCTCTCCCTGCTCTGTCTTCTTGCTCTGCGACTTTTTAAGGCAGGGGAGGCAATTAAAGTTATTTAAAAATTAAAGCCCTAGACTAGTGAGTTAATTTCTCCTGAGAGATTTGCAATCTGTAGAGAAAATTATTGCTGCACATGTTTTGTCACTCAACACAAGCTGGTGTGGCCATTGGTGGAGGGAGGGGGGGGGGGGGGCAAAAGACAGCAAAGTTTTAATTTTCTGCCTTGATTAACTAGGGGTTTTGTAAAAAACAGAAGTACTGCAGCAGTTTCTACAGTAACTAACACACACTTTTGCACGGGCAAAATAAAACAATGACATGATCTGTAGTGTGAAAAATAGGCAAACCTTCTCCACGACTTATCGTTCCGCTTTAAATAGTCTAACACTAACAGGGGTACCCAAAAAACTTTTTAATTAAAAAGCAAGATCTTTTTTTTATTTATTATTAAAATATGGTATACTAAAGAATGACTGCTATAAAAAGGAATGTATTCAAAATTATTTATATTATATACATGCAAAAAAACAAGAATAAAATAAACTACAACACATATTGAACCTCTGTGTTTAAATACTTTTGACCAGCTGCCAGATATGAAGTTACTCTTCTTAATTTTGAATGTGTTTAAAAGAATTAAAGACATTTTAAAAAACTGGATTATATCAGGCCTGAAATTATTTTTCAGGGATTTGTTGTCTATAGATGTACATAGTAATGAAATAGGTTAAATTACTAAATTTGCAAATGGTTAATTAAAAATTTGGTGAGACAGTCAATATAATAACTAATATATATATATATATATATATATATATATATATATATATATATATATGAGGGGGGAGTGGCTTTTTGTTTTAGTTCCACCACCACATATGGCTGACATGTCTGATGTGGTATAGCACCTAGACAGATACTGGTACAGTTGTTGACATCCTTAGAACTGTACACACATATGGGGCACAGATGGGAGACAAAAGGGGGGGGAGAGTTGCATTGGCCAGCCTGGAGCTTTTTTGTTTTAGTATTTAGGTCTCAAGCAGCTCCTGCCAATAAACACCAGTATTAGCATTTCAGTTTGAAATAACAACAAAATATTTTGTGCAAGCTATTTTTCCCCCTCCCAGTCACCTCTAGATCCGCCTATGCCAGTACTTCAATAGTTTGAATCAATCTGCACAATATTTTTAAAATATTCCATTTATTTACACACATTTTAACAGGTGTCAACATAGTCATAAATGGTCATCCCTGAACAAATATGTCCATTTCATGTTCCTGTTGCTAGGTTGTTAATTTGGGCGTGTCCGTCAGGGTTACTCCGGACATGTCTGTTGAGGTTACTTCGGACCTGTCCGTCAATGTTACTCCGGACCTGTCTGCCAGGGTTCAGACAAGACGTGTCAGTTCTCCTGTCGAGCCAGTACATGAAGTCACTGACGGTCAGCTGTCGGAACCTGCCGTCGGCACACATCCGGGCAAAGAGAGCGATGTCTGGCAGCGTCGTGTCGGACTGCTGGCCGGCTATAAAGACCAGGAACTCGTCGGCCAGGTACTGGATGTAGTTCTTGCTCACGTCGCCGAAGTAGCCCAGGCAGCACAAGTAGGTCAAGATGGCGGGGTCCCTGCCGTCAATGATGTAGCTCTGAGGCTTGTCGTAGCAGCGAGCCGTGTCCTCCTTGCTCTGGTTCAAGATGGTGTAGCAGAACTTGTAGGCCACAGCCGTGCTGGCGGCAGTACTGGAGCAGACGTAGAGAGCTGCTAGCACTAGCAGGATCTGAAACAGGAATACACGGGTTGGTGAGTGGTATGTGGCTGACATGGACAAACGCCTTGCTGCCAAATAGGGGGGGGGGGGGGGGGGGGAGGGCGCTAGTAGCTACCTGCGACAGGATCTTAATCATAACAGCTGTGTTCGGCAGGTACCAACATGATCACAGAATTTAGTTAGATGTGGGATGGTGGATAACCTCAGATTAAATGACCAGATTAGCGGGATGGTGAATGACTACATATCAAATGACCAGATTAGCGGGATGGTGAATGACTACATATCAAATGACCAGATTTGCGGGATGAGAGTGACCGCAGATTAAATGACATACCACTAAACCCTGAGGGCCTAGTCTCCAATCTCCCCCCCCCCCCATCCAGCGACATCCCGAGGGTCTACGGAGCATGGGCGTGGCTTGAAATAAGTCCGTTCACCAACGGGCTGTTATCCTTCATCAACCCAACTGTCAACGAACTGACAAGACACAAATATTTCAAAGTTTTTATCTTGGAGCGACGTAAAGTCAAGCCCTGGTCTAGCACTATCTCAAGCAGTCGCTGTGTGCAGCTGCTCTAACAAGTCCTGTTCGCACGCTAGCACACCATGACAGGCAGAAGAATGTGTCGCAGCGGCGTCGCTAGGGTGGGTGACATCAGGTGCGGTAACCCAGGGTGTCTCCCTCCCCCGTACGGTAACCCAGGGTGTCTCCCTCCCCCGTACGGTAACCCAGGGTGTCTCCCCCGTACGGTAAGCCAGAGTGTCTCCCTCCCCCGTACGGTAACCCAGGGTGTCTCCCCCGTACGGTAACCCAGGGTGTCTCCCTCCCCCGTACGGTAACCCAGGGTGTCTCCCTCCCCCGTACGGTAACCCAGGGTGTCTCCCCCGTACGGTAAGCCAGAGTGTCTCCCTCCCCCGTACGGTAAACTAGGGTGTCTCACCCCCCCCCCCCCCCATTTGCCGACTACATGGACTAAAATTAAAGGCAATATATGGTGTCAGTCCCATCACAGATGGTGTCCTTCCCATCACAGATGGTGTCCCTCCCATCACATATGATGTCAGTCCCATCACAGATGGTGTCCTTCCCATTACAGATGATGTCAGTCTCATCACAGATGGTGTCACAAAGTGCCAAATGTTGCATATAACGTTTAAAAGCTACTAACCTAACTGGAAAAAAACAGTTTTCCAGCAATATTCGTGTCACCCCCTAGGGTGTTATCCAATAGATGGTGTCACCCCCTAGGGTGTTATCCAATAGATGGTGTCACCCCCTAGGGTGTTATCCAATAGATGGTGTCACCCCCTAGGGTGCGTATGCACCCCCGCCCTGTGACGCTACTGGTGTAACGTAGAGGTAATCTCGCGATGGGTGAGATGATGTATCAGCTGATGTTGTCATGTCTAACTGTCATGTCTGACTGTCAACTGTGATGTTTGACTGTCTAACTGTCATGTCTAACTGTCATGTCTGACTGTCATTTCTAACTGTCATGTCTGACTGTCATGTCTGACTGTCATGTCTAACTGTCACGTCTAACTGTCATGTCTAACTGTCATGTCTGACTGTCTAACTGACATGTCTGACTGTCATGTCTGACTGTCATGTCTGACTGTCAACTGTCATGTCTGACTGTCAACTGTCATGTTTGACTGTCTAACTGTCATGTCTAACTGTCATGTCTGACTGTCATTTCTAACTGTCATGTCTAACTGTCATGTCTAACTGTCATGTCTGACTGTCATGTCTAACTGTCACGTCTAACTGTCATGTCTAACTGTCATGTCTGACATGTCTGACTGTCATGTCTGACTGTCATGTCTGACTGTCAACTGTCATGTCTGACTGTCAACTGTCATGTTTGACTGTCTGACTGTCATATGTCTAACTGACATGTCTGACTGTCATGTCTAACTGTTATGTCTGACTGTCATGTCTAACTGTAATGTCTAACTGTCATGTCTGACTGTCATGTCTAACCGTCATGTCTAACTGTCATGTCTGACTGTCATGTCTAACTGTCATGTCTAACTGTCATGTCTAACTGTCATGTCTAACTGTCATGTCTGACTGTCTAACTGTCATGTCTGACTGTTATGTCTGACTGTCATGTCTGACTGTCATGTCTAACTGTCATGTCTGACTGTCAACTGTCATGTTTGACTGTTATGTCTGACTGTCATGTCTAACTGTCATGTCTAACTGTCATGTCTGACTGTCATGTCTAACTGTCATGTCTAACTGTCATGTCTGACTGTCGTGTCTGACTGTCATGTCTGACTGTCATGTCTAACTGTCATGTCTAACTGTCATGTCTGACTGTCATGTCTAACTGTCATGTCTAACTGTCATGTCTGACTGGCATGTCTGGCTGTCATGTCTGACTAGCAGGTGCATGACATGACGCCCACCACACGTCATCCAACTGCCCCTATGGTCAGTCAATGAAGGACAGTATCAAGTTGTCACCCAGATGTCACCAAGATGTCACCAAGTTGTCACCAAGTTGTCACCAATATGTCACCAAGTTGTCACCAAGTTGTCACCAAGATGTCACCAAGTTGCACAAAAGTAAACAAAAACTACTCACGTATTTCCCTTTGTGTGACGACATTGTTGGTCCTCCCCCACACTAATCCAGTTATCCACAGGATAGCAATATCCTGAGCTGTTGATTTCCTGGTAAAGTGAACCACTGAAGTGGACACGGCTTATCTGGCACACTGTTCGCCCTTGAGTGATGGCGTACCTGGCCGATGGTTGGTCCTCGCGTCGTCCCTCGTCAGGTACTGCGGGATGTGACGTCCCTCGTCAGGTACTGCGAGATGTGACGGCGCATTTCTCCTTGCTTGATGCCAGTCACAGATTAGGACGACAGTACGGCGAGGCAATCTCTGAGATGTGGAGCTTCATTCAAATTCTGTCCTCAGCGGGGGTAGGTGGGGGGGGGGGGGGGGTTGTAGGGTTATAGTGGTTGGTTCAAAGAAAGTTTTTATAGCATAGACAACTGCAATCAGTTATAAGTTAACTGGCGGGTTTATGTTTAAGGCTTTCAAAAATGTCTATTATGTTTACCTGGGGCCCATGTCCCTGTCTACCTGGGGCCCATGTCTCTACCTGGGGCCTATGTCTCTGTTTACTTGGGGCCCATGGCTCTGTTTACTTGGGGCCCATGTCTCTACCTGGGGCCTATGTCTCTGTTTACCTGGGGCCCATGGCTCTGTTTACCTGGGGCCCATGGCTCTGTTAACTTGGGGCCCATGGCTCTGTTTACCTGGGGCCCATGGCTCTGTTTACATGGGGCCCATGGCTCTGTTTACCTGGGGCCCATGTCTCTGTTTACCTGAGGCCCATGTCTCTGTTTACCTGGGGCCCATGTCTCTGTTTACTTCGGGCCCATGGCTCTGTTTACTTGGGGCCCATGTCTCTACCTGGGGCCCATGTCTCTGTTTACTTGGGGCCCATGGCTCTGTTTACCTGGGGCCCATGTCTCTACCTGGGGCCTATGTCTCTGTTTACCTGGGGCCCATGGCTCTGTTTACCTGGGGCCCATGGCTCTGTTTACCTGGGGCCCATGTCTCTGTTTACTTGGGGCCCATGGCTCTGTTTACTTGGGGCCCATGTCTCTACCTGGGGCCCATGTCTCTGTTTACTTGGGGCCCATGGCTCTGTTTACCTGGGGCCCATGTCTCTGTTTACTTGGGGCCCATGTCTGTTTACCTGGGGCCCATGTCTGTTTACCTGTGGCCCATGGCTCTGTTTACCTGGGGCCCATGTCTCTGTTTACCTGGGGCCCATGTCTCTACCTGGGGCCCATGTCTCTGTTTACCTGGGGCCCATGGCTCTGTTTACCTGGGGCCCATGTCTCTACCTGGGGCCCATGTCTCTGTTTACCTGAGGCCCATGTCTCTGTTTACCAGGGACCCATGGCTCTGTTTACCTGGGTTCCATGTCTCTGTTTACCTGGGACCCATGGCTCTGTTTACCTGGGTTCCATGTCCCTACCTGGGGCCCATGTCTCTACCTGGGGCCCATGTCTTTGTTTACCTGGGGCCCATGTCTCTACCTGGGGCCCATGTATCTGTTTACCTGGGGCCCATGGCTCTGTTTACCTGGGTTCCATATCTCTACCTTTGGCCCATGGGCTCTACCTGGGGCCCATGTCCCTGTCTATCTGGGGCCCATGTCTCTGTTTACCTGGGGCCCATGGCTCTGTTTACCTGGGGCCCATGGCTCTACCTGGGGCCCATGTCTCTGTTTACCTGGGGCCCATGGCTCTGTTTACCTGGGGCCCATGGCTCTGTTTACCTTGGGCCCATGGGCTCTACCTGGGGCCCATGGCTCTACCTGGGGCCCATGTCTCTGTTTACCTGAGGCCCATGTCTCTGTTTACCTGGGGCCCATGTCTCTGTTTACCTGGGGCCCATGGCTCTGTTTACCTGAGGCCCATGTCTCTGTTTACCTGGGGCCCATGTCTCTGTTTACCTGGGGCCCATGGCTCTACCTGGGGCCCATGGCTCTGTTTACCTGGGGCCCATGGCTCTGTTTACCTGGGGCCCATGGCTCTGGGTTCCATGTCTCTACCTTTGGCCCATGGGCTCTACCTGGGGCCCATGTCCCTGTCTATCTGGGGCCCATGTCTCTGTTTACCTGGGGCCCATGGCTGTTTACCTGGGGCCCATGGCTCTACCTGGGGCCCATGTCTCTGTTTACCTGGGGCCCATGGCTCTGTTTACCTGGGGCCCATGTCTCTGTTTACCTTGGGCCCATGGGCTCTACCTGGGGCCCATGGCTCTACCTGGGGCCCATGTCTCTGTTTACCTGAGGCCCATGTCTCTGTTTACCTGGGGCCCATGTCTCTGTTTACCTGGGGCCCATGGCTCTGTTTACCTGAGGCCCATGTCTCTGTTTACCTGGGGCCCATGTCTCTGTTTACCTGGGGCCCATGGCTCTACCTGGGGCCCATGGCTCTGTTTACCTGGGGCCCATGTCTCTGTTGACCTGGGGCCCATGGCTCTGTTTACCTGGGACCCATGTCTCTGTTTACCTGGGGCCCATGGCTCTGTTTACCTGGGGCCCATGTCTCTGTTTACCTGAGGCCCATGTCTCTAGCTGGGGCCCATGGCTCTGTTTACCTGGGGCCCATGGCTCTACCTGGGGCCCATGTCTCTGTTTACCTGAGGCCCATGGCTCTGTTTACCTGGGGCCCATATCTCTGTTTACCTGGGGCCTATGTCTCTGTTTACCTGGGGCCCATGTCTCTGTTTACCTGGGGCCCATGGCTCTGTTTACCTGGGGCCCATGGCTCTGTTTACCTGGGGCACATGTCTCTACCTGGGGCCCATGGCTGTACCTGGGGCCCATGTCTCTGTTTACCTGGGTCCCATGTCTCTGTTTACCTGGGGCCCATGTCTCTATCTGGGGCCCATGTCTCTATCTGGGGCCCATGTCTCTGTTTATCTGGGGCCCATGTCCCTGTTTACCTGTGGCCCATGTCCCTGTTTACCTGGGGCCCATGTCTCTGTTTACCTGGGGCCTATGGCTCTGTTTACCTGGGTTCCATGTCTCTACCTGGGGCCCATGGCTGTACCTGGGGCCCATGGCTCTGTTTACCTGGGGCCCATGTCTCTACCTGGGGCCCATGTCTCTGTTTACCTGGGGCCCATGTCCCTGTTTACCTGGGGCCCATGGCTGTTTACCTGGGGCCCATGTCTCTACCTGGGGCCCATGGCTGTACCTGGGGCCCATGTCTCTGTTTACCTGGGGCCCATGTCTCTGTTTACCTGGGGCCCATGTCTCTATCTGGGTCCCATGTCTCTATCTGGGGCCCATGTCTCTGTTTACCTGGGGCCCATGGCTGTTTACCTGGGGCCCATGTCTCTACCTGGGGCCCATGGCTGTACCTGGGGCCCATGTCTCGACCTGGGGCCCATGTCTCTACCTGGGGCCCATGTCTCTACCTGGGGCCCATGTCTCTATCTGGGGCCCATGTCTCTGTTTACCTGGGGCCCATGGCTGTTTACCTGGGGCCCATGTCTCTACCTGGGGCCCATGGCTGTACCTGGGGCCCATGTCTCTACCTGGGGCCCATGTCTCTACCTGGGGCCCATGTCTCTACCTGGGGCCCATGTCTCTGTTTACCTGGTGCCCATTTCCCTTGTTACTGCGTCTTTGATCTCTGTTCATGATATGCCTTTTCATGGCATTGGAATTTCAAGTATAATTCCTTGTTTAAAGAACCTTTTAAAATCCAAATGGGTTTTTAAAGAAATAAGAGCCACAGAATTGTGACGTCACCTTTCTTGATGTAGTCCATTTGTAGTGTAGTGAACAAGTTGTTGACAATCAAAAGAGTGTTAGACCACTTCCTTTCTGCGCAACACCGCTGTCCGGATGACTAGCCACAGGTTTACGGCTGAGCGAACTGTTCACGATTGGTCATGTGAGAATCTCGAGCGAGGAATATCAAAGCGTTGATTGAAGGCGCTAGCAAGTTGACAATAGCCAACGCACTCAGGTTTCTGTTTCCCGCTAAAAGGAAGTGACTTCCTGTGACGTATTATGCCGGTGATAAATCTCTTGATAAACACTGACAAATATGTCAGTCGCTGACTTCAAACAAATTACATTCAATATTTTCTTTATACGAAGCGTTTTTTGTAGACAAATACATCATTAGTCGAGCGTCCTTGTTGACTTTTATGGAATAAAAATATTACATTCCATTTTGTATTTAAAACTATTTGGGCAAGTCTTTCTGACGATAGCTTAGTGAATCAAACATTGGATGTGCCCAAGTGCTCTTTTATAGTCGGGCTTTGCTCGCTTGTCTCGTCTTTTACTGGCCATCAGATGACCCTGGATGACCTTCATAGGATCACTAGATGACCTTCATGGGATCACTAGATGACCTTCATAGGATGACTAGATGACCTTCATGGGATCACTAGATGACCTCAATGGGATCACTAGATCACCTTCAATGGATCATTAGATGACCTCAATAGGATTATTAGATGACCTTGGTCACTATTGATACATTATATATACAATCAGCTAATCCACCCTCACCCCGCCCTATTCAACTGTCTACATGCACCCCCTCCGCCCTATACAACCGGCGAATGCACCCCCCACTCCGCCCTATTCAACTGCCTACATGCACCCCCCCCCCATGCAACCGGCTCATGCACTCCCCACCCTGCCCTATTCAACTGCCTACATGGACCCCCCCCCCCCTATTCAACTGCCTACATGCACCCCCCCCCCCCCGCCCTATTCAACTGCCTACATGCACCCCCCTATACAACCGGCTAATGCACCCCCCACCCCGTTCTGTTCAACTTCCTACATGCACCCCCCCCCCTATACAACCAGCTAATGCACCCCCACCCCGCCCTATTCAACTGCCTACATGCACCCCCGCCCTATTCAACAGCCTACATGCACCCCCACCCCGCCCTATTCAACTGTCTACATGCATCCATCTGTTACGACATACGTGCCAACTTGACAACGCAGTTACTTTTCTGTCTTTCTACTTCGATTTTCTACGTCTTGCTTACGAGTTACCTGCCCCTTAATAATGGAGTTATGTTCCTTGTACTTGCTGCCTAGTTTCCCTTAGATTGCAGTCATGTTTTTTTTCTGGTTACCGGCCCTGGAATTTATCCACGCTTATTGGCATCATAGTTAATTTGGTTTTTTTTTCTCAATTTGTGGTCCCAGTTGTTGGCCCTGGTTGTTGGTCCTGGTTGTTGGTCCTGGTTGTTGGTCCTGGTTGGGTTGTTGGTCCTGGTTGGTTGTTGGCCCTGGTTGGTTGTTGGCCCTGGTTGGTTGTTGGCCCTGGTTGTTGGCCCTGGTTGTTGGTCCTGGTTGGGTTGTTGGCCCTGGTTGGTTGTTGGCCCTGGTTGGTTGTTGGCCCTGGTTGGGTTGTTGGCCCTGGTTGTTGGCCCTGGTTGGGTTGTTGGCCCTGGTTGGGTTGTTGGCCCTGGTTGGGTTGTTGGCCCTAGTTGTTGGCCCTGGTTGGGTTGTTGGCCCTGGTTGTTGGCCCTGGTTGGTTGTTGGCCCTGGTTGGGTTGTTGGCTCTGGTTGTTGGCCCTGGTTGGTTGTTGGCCCTGGTTGGTTGTTGGCCCTGGTTGGGTTGTTGGTCCTGGTTGGGTTGTTGGCCCTGGTTGGTTGTTGGCCCTGGTTGGTTGTTGGCCCTGGTTGGTTGTTGGCCCTGGTTGGGTTGTTGGCCCTGGTTGTTGCCCCTGGTTGGGTTGTTGGCCCTGGTTGTTGGCCCTGGTTGGTTGTTGGCCCTGATTGGTTGTTGGCCCTAGTTGTTGGCCCTAGTTGTTGGCCCTGGTTGGTTGTTGGCCTTGGTTGGGTTGTTTTCTCAATTTGTGGTCCCAGTTGTTGGCCCTGGTTGGGTTGTTGGCCCTGGTTGGGTTGTTGGCCCTGGTTGGTTGTTGGCCCTGGTTGGGTTGTTGGCCCTGGTTGGGTTGTTGGCCCTGGTTGGGTTGTTGGCCCTGGTTGTTGGCCCTGGTTGGTTGTTGGCCCTGGTTGGTTGTTGGCCCTAGTTGTTGGCCCTGGTTGGTTGTTGGCCTTGGTTGGGTTGTTGGCCCTGGTTGTTGGCCCTGGCTGGGTTGTTGGCCCTGGTTGGGTTGTTGGTCCTGGTTGGTTGTTGGCCCTGGTTGGGTTGTTGGCCCTGGTTGGGTTGTTGGCCCTGGTTGGGTTGTTGGCCCTGGTTGGTTGTTGGCCCTGGTTGGTTGTTGGCCCTGGTTGGTTGTTGGCCCTAGTTGTTGGCCCTGGTTGGGTTGTTGGCCCTAGTTGTTGGCCCTAGTTGGGTTGTTGGCCCTGGTTGTTGCCCCTGGTTGGGTTGTTGGCCCTGGTTGTTGCCCCTGGTTGGGTTGTTGGCCCTGGTTGGTTGTTGGCCCTGATTGGTTGTTGGCCCTGGCTGGGTTGTTGGCCCTGGCTGGGTTGTTGGCCCTAGTTGTTGGCCCTGGTTGGGTTGTTGGCCCTAGTTGTTGGCCCTAGTTGTTGGCCCTGGTTGGGTTGTTGGCCCTAGTTGTTGGCCCTGGTTGGGTTGTTGGCCCTAGTTGTTGGCCCTGGTTGGGTTGTTGGCCCTGGTTGGGTTGTTGGCCCTGGTTGTTGCCCCTGGTTGGGTTGTTGGCCCTGGTTGTTGGCCCTGGTTGGTTGTTGGCCCTGGTTGGGTTGTTGGCCCTGGTTGTTGGCCCTGGTTGGTTGTTGGCCCTGGTTGGTTGTTGGCCCTGGTTGGGTTGTTGGTCCTGGTTGGGTTGTTGGCCCTGGTTGGTTGTTGGCCCTGGTTGGTTGTTGGCCCTGGTTGGTTGTTGGCCCTGGTTGGGTTGTTGGCCCTGGTTGTTGCCCCTGGTTGGGTTGTTGGCCCTGGTTGTTGGCCCTGGTTGGTTGTTGGCCCTGATTGGTTGTTGGCCCTAGTTGTTGGCCCTAGTTGTTGGCCCTGGTTGGTTGTTGGCCTTGGTTGGGTTGTTTTCTCAATTTGTGGTCCCAGTTGTTGGCCCTGGTTGGGTTGTTGGTCCTGGTTGGGTTGTTGGCCCTGGTTGGTTGTTGGCCCTGGTTGGGTTGTTGGCCCTGGTTGTTGCCCCTGGTTGGGTTGTTGGCCCTGGTTGGTTGTTGGCCCTGGTTGGGTTGTTGGCCCTGGTTGTTGCCCCTGGTTGGGTTGTTGGCCCTGGTTGTTGGCCCTGGTTGGTTGTTGGCCCTGGTTGGGTTGTTGGCCCTGGTTGTTGGCCCTGGTTGGTTGTTGGCCCTGGTTGGTTGTTGGCCCTGGTTGGGTTGTTGGTCCTGGTTGGGTTGTTGGCCCTGGTTGGTTGTTGGCCCTGGTTGGTTGTTGGCCCTGGTTGGTTGTTGGCCCTGGTTGGGTTGTTGGCCCTGGTTGTTGCCCCTGGTTGGGTTGTTGGCCCTGGTTGTTGGCCCTGGTTGGTTGTTGGCCCTGATTGGTTGTTGGCCCTAGTTGTTGGCCCTAGTTGTTGGCCCTGGTTGGTTGTTGGCCTTGGTTGGGTTGTTTTCTCAATTTGTGGTCCCAGTTGTTGGCCCTGGTTGGGTTGTTGGCCCTGGTTGGGTTGTTGGCCCTGGTTGGTTGTTGGCCCTGGTTGGGTTGTTGGCCCTGGTTGGGTTGTTGGCCCTGGTTGGGTTGTTGGCCCTGGTTGTTGGCCCTGGTTGGTTGTTGGCCCTGGTTGGTTGTTGGCCCTAGTTGTTGGCCCTGGTTGGTTGTTGGCCTTGGTTGGGTTGTTGGCCCTGGTTGTTGGCCCTGGCTGGGTTGTTGGCCCTGGTTGGGTTGTTGGTCCTGGTTGGTTGTTGGCCCTGGTTGGGTTGTTGGCCCTGGTTGGGTTGTTGGCCCTGGTTGGGTTGTTGGCCCTGGTTGGTTGTTGGCCCTGGTTGGTTGTTGGCCCTGGTTGGTTGTTGGCCCTAGTTGTTGGCCCTGGTTGGGTTGTTGGCCCTAGTTGTTGGCCCTAGTTGTTGGCCCTGGTTGGGTTGTTGGCCCTAGTTGTTGGCCCTGGTTGGGTTGTTGGCCCTAGTTGTTGGCCCTGGTTGGGTTGTTGGCCCTGGTTGGGTTGTTGGCCCTAGTTGTTGGCCCTGATTGGGTTGTTGGCCCTGGTTGGTTGTTGGCCCTGGTTGTTGGCCCTGGTTGTTGGCCCTGGTTGTTGGCCCTGGTTGGGTTTTTGGCCCTGGTTGGGTTGTTGGCCCTGGTTGGTTGTTGGCCCTGGTTGTTGGCCCTGGTTGGTTGTTGGCCCTGGTTGGTTGTTGGCCCTGGCTGGGTTGTTGGCCCTGGCTGGGTTGTTGGCCCTGGTTGGTTGTTGGCCCTGGTTGTTGGCCCTGGTTGTTGGCCCTGGTTGTTGGCCCTGGTTGGTTGTTGGCCTTGGTTGGGTTGTTGGCCCTGGTTGGTTGTTGGCCCTGGTTGGTTGTTGGCCCTGATTGGTTGTTGGTCCTGGTTGGTTGTTGGCCCTGGTTGGGTTGTTGGCCCTGGTTGGGTTGTTGGCCCTGGTTGGGTTGTTGGCCCTGGTTGGTTGTTGGCCCTGGTTGGTTGTTGGCCCTGGTTGGTTGTTGGCCCTAGTTGTTGGCCCTGGTTGGGTTGTTGGCCCTAGTTGTTGGCCCTAGTTGTTGGCCCTGGTTGGGTTGTTGGCCCTAGTTGTTGGCCCTGGTTGGGTTGTTGGCCCTAGTTGTTGGCCCTGGTTGGGTTGTTGGCCCTGGTTGGGTTGTTGGCCCTAGTTGTTGGCCCTGATTGGGTTGTTGGCCCTGGTTGGTTGTTGGCCCTGGTTGTTGGCCCTGGTTGTTGGCCTTGGTTGTTGGCCCTGGTTGGGTTTTTGGCCCTGGTTGGGTTGTTGGCCCTGGTTGGTTGTTGGCCCTGGTTGTTGGCCCTGGTTGGTTGTTGGCCCTGGTTGGTTGTTGGCCCTGGCTGGGTTGTTGGCCCTGGTTGGTTGTTGGCCCTGGTTGTTGGCCCTGGTTGGTTGTTGGCCCTGGTTGGTTGTTGGCCCTGGCTGGGTTGTTGGCCCTGGCTGGGTTGTTGGCCCTGGTTGGTTGTTGGCCCTGGTTGTTGGCCCTGGTTGTTGGCCCTGGTTGTTGGCCCTGGTTGGTTGTTGGCCTTGGTTGGGTTGTTGGGCCTGGTTGTTGGCCCTGGTTGTTGGTAAGTATCCTCCCAAAAGGTGACACCATTCATGCGTGGTGACTGCTAGACATACGTGGTGACTACTAGACATACGTGGTGACTACTGGTCTGGAAATAGACAAACTACAGCCCGCCATCATGGAAACAGTCCACCAATCAGAACGCCTGTGACTGCGCCTGTCCGCGCGACGAAAGCGTGAATGACGACATTCTATAAATAGATGTCACCAGACGGCGCTGCAAGACGTCATCCATTGATAAGCCATCGATACCAGAGGAAATCAGCGCACTCGGGCTTGGCAGACCTGCTGTACCTCGTCATACCTCGCAGCACACTGGGCACACGACCACACAACAGACTAACACAACAGACAAACAGTTCCTTCTCGCTGCTTGACACCACGGACTAAATGGCCAAAGTTGTAAGTAGCTGTGTCAGTTTTTATTGTAGTAAGTAGCTGTGTCAGTTTTTATTGTAGTAAGTAGCTGTGTCAGTTTTTATTGTAGTAAGTAGCTGTGTTAGTTTTTATTGTAGTAAGTAGCTGTTTCAGTTTTTATTGTAGTAAGTAGCTGTGTTAGTTTTTATTGTAGTAAATAGCTGTGTTAGTTTTTATTGTAGTAAGAAGCTGTTTCAGTTTTGTATAGCGATAGACTGGGTAAAATGGCATAGAAAATGGCTGGCTACCGAAGTAAAAGTTGAATATAAAGGCAAAGATCTAGTCTTTATGACTAGGCTTGATGTAGTTCTGGATGTTGTTTGTAAACATTAGAATTAGTGTCAGAGTAGCGTCCCCTTTGTTTATGTTAATTACTTAGTCCACACATTCGTCAGCGAGGAAGTAGCTGTTACAGTTTTCGTCCTTGTTAGCACACCGCGACCAAGGGCCTTCCACAGTGCGACACCACCACACTACCACACTACCTCACTACCACACTACCACACCACCACACCTCCACACTACCACACCACCACACTACCACACCACCACACTACCACACTACCACACTACCACACCACCACACAACCACACTACCACACCACCACACTACCACACCACCACACTACCACACCACCACACTACCACACTACCACACCACCAGACTACCACACCACCACACGACCACACCACCACACCACCACACTACCACACGACCACACTACCACACCACCACACTACCCCACCACCACACCACCACCACACCACCACACTACCACACCACCACACTACCACACCACCACACCACCATACTATCACACTACCACACCACCACACTACCACACCACCACACCACCACACCACCACACTACCACACCACCACACTACCACACCACCACACCACCACACTACCACACTACCACACCACCACACTACCACACCACCACACTACCACACCTCCACACCACCACACTACCACACCACCACACTACCACACCACCACACCACCACACTACCACACTACCACACTACCACACTACCACACCTCCACACTACCACACTACCACACCTCCACACCACCACACTACCACACCACCACACTACCACACCACCACACCACCACACTACCACACCACCACACCACCACACTACCACACTACCACACCTCCACACCACCACACTACCACACCACCACACTACCACAGCACCACACCACCACACCACCACACTACCACACCAGCACACCACCACACTACCACACTACCACACTACCACACCTCCACACCACCACACCACCACACCACCACACCACCACACTACCACACCACCACACTACCACACCACCACACTACCACACCACCACACTACCACACAACGATGCTAACTAGAAATAGAATAGTGTAGGTGAACCCTCAGAAATGTGCTTTGTGTGACTTCCATAATACATTTATAAAGACCCAATATTTCAGGTAAAGTTTTAGTCATCTGAAACAAAAACTTTTTTGTCGTGGTTGACATACAAAATTGAGTCATGGTTGAGGAAAAAAGCTAAGTTGTTAACAGTGGCGTAGCGAGGGGGGGGGGGTGCAGACAGCACAGGGTGACACGATTTAGCGAGCGTGTACACCATGCCAAAAAATAGCAAAATATATACTCAAAACTGAACTCCACTTAATTAAATCATTAATTAGAGTGAGTTAAATAGTCTTTTAAAGTTAACAAATCCCGACAAGAGAGGGGGGAGGGGGTGACACTAATGATACTAATGATAGAGAAAACATGCTACCTAAAAATTAAATACATCCAGAAAAAAAACCTGTTAATACATATACACATACATATACATATACATATACTTACAAGAGTATATATATATATATATATATATATATATATATATATATATATATATATATATATATATATATATATATATATATATATATATCCTAATATATAAAAGCCCATTTGCGCACTTCTCTGTCCGCAATATTTTTTGCAACGTCGTCAGTATGTTCAGCGATATATGGAGAACTTAAAGATACGGACTTTTGTTGGAAATAATATGGTGGACGGTATATATGTATAAACTAAATTTTATTTAAAGAAGGAAAATACAAATAAAGGCATATTCGAATGTAGAACAGATTTCTAACTAAAGCGTTTATTGTCGTGATAAGAACGTAAGAAACAATGACGTCACATGAAGTTTAAAACTAAGTCTAAGGAAAGAGCACAAAACTAATGGCGTCATCTTACAATTTTAACCCTCTGAGGCCCACTGGGCCACCGGCTACCCACCTGGCTGAAAGCTTCACACTTTTTTACAAAATGCATTTTTTAAATATTTTTTACCTCTAAAGCCCATTGTTCATACTGTGGTACACAAGGGAGTTAATTCTGTTGTCTTATTTTTAATATTACTAAGTCATTTCCCTTTTGCAAATGGTGGCTCCCATGCAGCTTTAAAAATACAATTCACGACTTGCTTTTGAAGAATAAAAACATCATTTTAGGTAAGTTATAAATACTTTTTACGTTTTATTTTAATTTAAAATATATTAATTAACAACTTTAAATGTCAATATTAATAAAAAGTACGGCTAATTTTTAGTTTTAGACGTTCAAAATTGTTTGGGTTACTGGTGACCCAGTGGGCTTTACTGGTTACTTACTGGTGCACAATGTAATATGTAACCAAATTGTCATATGGTTTTTGTTGTTTTATTTATACAAACAAAAAAATAGTTTTATTTTTAATTTTTTAGCAATTAAATTTTATATTTATTTAATTCATTTGCAAGATATGGTTTTATTTACACAATTTAGGCATCTAGAATGTAAGTTCTAGATCTACCTAAGATCTAGTGATTATTTTAAATATTTGAATGTATTTTTTTAAATTGTAAATAATTATTGTTTTTTCTTCTTAACAGAATGGCACATTCCTCCAAGACGATCTACACTACAAGTGAAGTATTGAACATTTTAGATACTATTAACCATAATGAAAGCGACTTAGAAGATGAAGTATCATCCACTGATGATGAAGATGAATTATACACCTTAGCAAATGAATATGACAATGAAGAAATAGCTGGTGTTGCAGATACACCAGACTCAGATGAGAATGAGTTGCTAGAAACTCCAGAGTCAGTTAAAACCAAAAAAAAACATATCATTGGCACAAAACAACATTTGAGCCACCGGATGTCATCTTCAGAGGTGAAAAGCTGCAACTTCCAGACCATTATGAACTGCCATCTCCTCAGCAGTTCTTTGAAGAATTTTTGACTGAGGACATGTTAGATCTTCTAGTTGAAATGACTAATCAATACAGTGTGGAGAAAACTGGCAAGTCTGTGGACACGACCAAAAAAGAAATGAAGCAACTGTTAGGCATCAGTCCATAGAAAAAAACACTAAAATAGTCGCTGTTTGTTGGTACGACACAAGAGCTGTCAATGTACTATCTACATTCTCTGGTACAGATCCCAGAAATCCAGTTAGTCGATTTGAAAAATCCAAATCAATGTATGTCCCAGTACAGAGGCCAACAGTTATAAAACTGTACAATGAAAACATGGGAGGGGTAGACCTTCATGACTGTTGTGTGGCCAAAAATTCCTACCGCATTAAGTCCAAGCGGTGGTACATGTACATTTTTTGGCAGACCATTAGAATGATGCTTGTGAATGCCTGGCTTTCTTATCGTCGTGTCACTGGTCTGCTTGGATATTCAAAACGGGACACAATGAACCAGCGAAAATTTCAAGCCAGGCTAGCAACACTTCTTATTCAGTTTGAAAATTCCAGTGAAAGGAAACGGGGGCGGCCATCTGCAGAGTGCAGTAAAGAAAGCCTTGTAAAAAGAAGGCGACTGCAAACACTTCTGCCCAATCCACAAATAGCAACAGATGGCTACAATCATTTTATAATAAAAAATGACAATCGCCAACGATGCAGATTGTGCAGCCTTAAAACAAACAATGTTTGTGAAAAGTGTAATGTTTTTCTTTGTTTCACAGAGAAAAGAAACTGCTTCAGGGAGTTTCATTTTGGCTCATGAATGATTGAAATGTTCAAAATTAAAATAAAGTATTATAAAGTTTAAAACAAATGTATCATTTTAAATATTTATGTGTAAGAATAATTGTATTTTCATAACCTCTAAAGCCCAGTGGGTCACCAGTGGAACAATTTGGAAAAGTAGGTCACGGTCTAAATTGTAATTTTTTTATGATTGATATTGATTTCTATCCTAAAAGTATGCATGTACACCAAATGAAATATTTTTCCTACCGTTGCAACATAATTTGGGCCTCAGAGGGTTAAAATATGAAGAAATGAACTATTTCATTCAAATTTGGGTTAGATCTATAGATCTTCTTAACAAGACGTACGCTATGAAATGTATACAATTTTCTCGGCTAAAAATAATAAAAATTACTTTTAAAAACAACATAAATACAATTGAACAGTTTGGTTTTTTAATGTAATCATAATCAGTGTGTGCATTTAATAATATTAAATTAATATGGTGTTGTGTTGACTAATAATGTTTATAATTTCGTTTTTCTAATAGGTATTAGTAGCCTATGTTATTTTAAATGTATCGAATTTTAGCTATTTAGTTATTTCTTTGCTTTGTCACTAATATCGTTCGACGTATAGTAAAGAACATTGCGTTTTGACCAATAACTATTTTATAAAATATTTTTCTCAAACAAGTGTAACATTAAAATATATAGGCCTATAATTCACGTGTAACGAGTACCGACGGCTAGTATTTTTATAAAGCAAAGTGCTCGGGTGTCCGATAGGGCACTTCCAGGTGCCGCAGGCGCTTCAAATTTGGAAGGCTCCTGCCTTGGGGCAATAGAATGGGGGCCGGTGCCGGTTGGCCGCAAGTCCACGAAGAGAGGGCCGAAACTGACCTCGACTGGCTGGCGCCTTATATGAGCTAAATTACAAAAAATAAACTT